ACACTGATGTTTTCAGATGTTGCTAAGTAGTGTTTAGACTAAAGTCAAGGATTTTTCAGCTTCTCATGTCCAGCCAGCAAGAAAGCTGGAGGGGCACAAGAAGTTGGCACAGGACACAGCCAGGGCACCTGACCCAAACTGGCCAACAGGGTATTCCATACCATGGGAGGTCCCATCTAGTTTAGGAACTGGGAAGGGGGGGGCGAGGAATTGCTGCTCGGGGACTGGCTGGGTGTCGGTCAGCGGGTGGTGAGCAATTGCCCTGTGCATCATTTGTCCATTCCAATCCTTTTATTACTACTGTTGTCATTTTATTAGTGTTATCATTATCAGTTTCTTCTTTTCTGTTCTATTAAACGGTTCTTATTTCAAGCCACAAGTTTTACTTCTTTTCCTGATTTTCTCCCCCATCCCACTGGGTGGGGGGGGGAAGTGAGTGAGCAGCTGCGTGGTGCTTAGTTGCTGGCTGGGGTTAAACCACCACAACCTGTCATTTATTGTAGTGAGAAAACATATGACCTCTTTTGACTAAGAACAGGGCAGATGGCAGTGCTAATCCATTCTTACCTACTTTATAAATTATTTAGGTGTTCAGAACATAGAGAGTATGGAAACTAAAAAAAACCCACTTCCTTATTGAATTATAAATTTTAGTTTCTAACCTGTTCAGAGGGGAGCTTGCTTCTCTTTAACATGCTAAACTTGGTTAATACAAATTCTCTATTAAGTTAGATGATAATGGTAATCAGCTATACTGCTTTCTTTAAAAAAACAGCCTTTAATTTAACTGGGCAATGCATAGAAATATTGTTTCTTGACAAAGTGACAAACACGTTTTTGGGAATCAACAGTATCCCTCAGTGCACCCAAATCCTAGCAGTCTGTCCAACTTAAGATGTCAGAGAGTTTAAAAAAAAAAAAAAAAATCCAAAACCTATTTCTGTTCTTATAGTGACTGTAATCTTTGCTGTTGTATTTGAGAAGCATGAAAATCACCTGGTCTTCCTCATGTAAGTGAGGCCTTTTAACCTTTCTGTAAGTTAGAATACTGCATCATTTGCAGAAACAGCTAACTATAAAACTGACTTGAAAAGTGTGTGCAATGGTATTAATAAAAGAAATTGTATAAATAACTGAAATTATTTTTCAGGGAAAATATGTAGCTATAAATATATGAAGAGGAAAAGCAACAAAAAGCAGCAAACTGTCTACCACCTTCACCTGAAATCCACACCAAGAACAGAGAGCCTGCTCAGGGAAAACATCCACTTCTAACAAACCTAGAACTCCCAGTCTCCATCAGAATCTAATTAATTTGGATGTGTCTGTTTGGCAAAGGATACCACACTTTCTGAACACAGAATATGCATATAATGACTTAAATGAAAAAGCTAGTGAAAATAAACACTCCAAATCTTCCCACCAGAAAACATTTTTCTGTGAGTGTTATCAAAGCACTTGGATGATATTCTTTTCTCACTTATGCTGTTGTAAATCAATGGCAGCTTCACTAAACTCAGTAAATAAACCCCAAATTTAGAGTATCTTCTTCTAAAACATGTATTGAAGACTATTTTGAGGTAGATGAGTAGCAAGTTACATGATTTAACATGTATTGCATTTGAAATGCACACAGAGTTATTCATTAACAATTTATAGGACATGCTCCATAAATTAAACCCTAAAAAGATACAGGTTTTATTACAGGTACTAACATACCTAAAGGGAAGTAAACATACACACAGAGCCTGTCAATAGGAAGAAAAAGTATTTTACTGGAATTAAGACATGCTTGTATAAGGAGTAAAAATTACGTCTGCTATAGATGCCTGTTTAACATTTGTGTAAAACTTTCTCTTCAAAGACAGAGGAATCAGAGCTACTGATTTACCTCATCTAATAAAAAAAATGGTGTAAAAGAGTTGCGTAGTTCCAGCTGACCTTGAATGTAATTGGCTACCTTGGATGTCTCTATGGTATTTGCCATTAAGAAGATAAAAATATACAGGATTAAAATCTGAACCGATAAAGCTAAGAAATTAAGTATTACTCCTTTAATAAGCCTACTTTAGGAAAGTACGTGAATACCAAAATATCTCCTTACTGACTGCTACTGAAATGTGAATAAGTTTAAAAATAAGTTATCTAAAGTAAACGGATCTAACATCTTATTTTTCCCCCTATCTGCTTAAAAACTATGAATAAAGAATTCAAAGCAAGTTTTTTTACCCCACGACACTCTACTCCATCCAAAATCACCTGTACACCACCACATTCTCCAACTTTTTATATACTTAGTCTAGACTGATAGATTATTTTGTATCTTATGATGAAGATGGAGGCATACTTTTTCTATTACATTTTTTCAGTGCAACAGTTCTTTTTTCCATACTCCTGTACCATTTAAGAGTTTAAAAGCTTATGCAATTATAAGAACACTGTTTTACAAGGTCAGTGTTGATTATTACAGAGATGAGATTGTTCCACTGTACTGCAAAACAAGAGCTACAAGAAAACCCATTTTAAGTCACAAAAAACGATTAGCCAAGAGAAAAAGGTCTGTCAGTTAAAATGTCAGGGTGAAGGCAGAGACCATATCTGCCTGTCATGAATAAAGCCATGAATAAAGTGGGATTGTGGTAAACTGTGGGAGGAAAAAAAGCTTATTAAAGAATTTTTCTTAAATTTTAAAAACCCAAACATGCAGAGCTCAAAATAAAAAAAATTCATTTTACCCCTTGGTATCAAAGTAGTTTGTGTTAGACTGCTAGTTGAATTTAGGAAGTACTTATTCAGCACAGGTCTGAAACTGTAAAAAACAATGATAAATATAGAAGGTGAGATGATGATTTAGGAAGTATAATTATAAAATCATATATGCATGGTTAAAATAAAAATCAAGAAACACTAGATCATGAATATGTGTTGCCATGTTACCACAACTGATCTTGTTGCCTTCCTTGATACAGTCACAGATACAGGCCATTACAACCTCAACGCAATTTTGTGCTAACTACTATAGTAAACATCATGAAGGAATTAAGAGACATCAATCAACCTTCTGGTATTGAAACAGAAGTTTAGGGACAGTACATGGCAACAAGTCTACAACTTAAATTTAGTTCAAAACTCCTCCATGAAAAGGACTGAGAATTATGGAGTAATACCTTTAGAAAACCTAATCAGTCTAACTGTGAGTTTCAGCTCTGAGGCTTATTTTGTCAACTTTCTTAGCCTCCACCCTATCAGGACAGCTATATTATTACATTGTATTTTATCTTTACAGCTTTCAGCTATAATCAAGCTTTTTACACTAAAGCATGTTGTTCCAGTAGCAAACAACTGCTAGGGGGTTGCAGAATTAGGATGTATTTTAGGATCACTGCTGTCTCAAAAAATTTGTATCTAGCCTCTAATTAATTAAAAAAAGAAGCTGTGAAATCTAATTCAGTATCCAATAACCCATGTAATAGACTTGTTTGAAACTCCATCCTACATTTTAAATGCCTACAATTGACTTTTTGTTTCATTTCCTCTGAACAAATGTAAAGGTATGTTTTACCTATAAAGTAAAACATGGTGAAATACCATGCATTAATGTATAAAGAATAGACCCTAATGAAGATTTCAAGTAAAATCTGTCTTCTATTCCCTCCTTTCATTATGATCCTAATATCCATTTTAAAATCTTGAATCAAATAGTTCCCAAAGAAAGCAAACACAAGTCTAATGGCTTATCTATACTGCAGTTATATCTGAAACAAAAAAGCAATAGTATTAACAAGCAATCTGACTTAAACATTAGACAAGTTTATTCTTACATTGATATGAAACACCCAAAGGTAGGGCACTGGGAGGGAGAAAAAAAACCAAAAGCCAACAGGTAAATTGGAAATGTCATTGTCTTTCACCCTTAGTGAGATAAGGCATTTTTAGTAAATAATACTGCTAATGAAAACCCTCCTTAATAAATTTAACAACATCCATCAGCTTCCTCCACTGTACATCACTTCAAACTTCAACTCTGCTGCAAGTCATCCTCCTTGACATCCATTTTCACTGTTATATTTTCAACAATGGTTTCTGACATTTCCACTAGTTTTGTAGCTTGCATCTTTTTCATTCCCCTCCTGCCTCTTGACATTTCTTATCACTTCCTCCCTAAATCTTCCTCAGAATCACAAGTGCTTCTACTTCTCAAAATAGCAGTGAAGCAGTCTCTTCTGCTCAGCTATCAATTCACAGAAGAATACTGGGAGGTGGAAAGAAAGTAGTAGGGCTGAAGAGCAGACACAAGCAGCAAAGCTTGCTTTAAATAAAATATAAATAAAAGCTGCAGAGCTCAGGTCACCACACAGTACCAGCCTGCGTTCACAAGTCACCTTCTCTTCCCATGTTAAATATCAACCTGATTTCAACCTCTTATTCTCTCTCTGCTCCTTGATTTGCTATCAGAGATTCTGATAACATCTCTTCCCTCATTACTTGTTATATCAGGAAAACTCTAAATCCTGATGAAAAAGGATCTTTCTCTACTCTCACCTAGCATATTCCAAACTGACAAATGCATTCTCTACCCTAAGATTATATTCAGGAAACAGCTAATCCATGTTTTTAAATATTCTCATAATCTCTATCAAAAATCAAAGTATTCCTGTATTTCTTCCTTCATTTTTCCTATAATCTGCAAACACCTCATGATAGCTAGAACTGCTGTCTCTCATGTATCATGTAAAATCCAGACACTTCACAGGTTACAGATATTGGTGTATACCGCCCAGTCCCAAAAGCAGAAAAGGGAAGTTATACCTTGAATTTTGTTTTCTGTTTTCTTGTTTTCAATACCTTGAAAGTGTTTTTTGAGTACCCTAAAATTCCAATGGACCAAGTAGTATCTGTGCATTTACTCCTGTAATTTCATTTGCACACAAACTCAAGATTTGGCTTATTCACCAAAAGGTAAATTTCTGGTGCCTATTTCAGAAGGCTAATCTTCTTACCTTTACAGTTTCACTTAAGACATGGTTTTTATCTGCTTCTTCACTGGAGTGCAATTCTAGTTTATTATTTAACTCCTGTAGCTGTTGCGCCTGTTCATTCAAAAGGACTTGTGCCTGATGCTCCCGATGTAATGCATTATTTAATTCTTCACATGCACTTTCAAATCTCTCATGGGTGATCAATTTCTGACAAGGGAAATAAATTGTGTTTGATTGTGTAACTGTATTCACTTGTTTACATGCTTGACTTTCAGAGTTCCACCTGCAAACGTATCAAATTCTAAAACAAAAGCATGCTAAAGATAGATATTTAGGTTTTTTAACATGAAGACAGACCACCAAACAATAAAACAGCAGACAACTTTATTCACTGTATTATTTTTTTTTAAGTATTCAGGGTACTGTAAACACTATGCATTCATTATTCTATTCAAATTAGCACCCCAGGTTGTAAAGAATCAATGTTTACAAGGAAATAGGCGGATCAATGTCCCAAATTTCAGTGTGTATCTTATTAACCCTTATACATGTCTTCCTGGACTCTTTCTCCCCTCCCCAAAATGTTCCAGAGAGAAGAAATAATTCTTCAGGGAAAATCATCACCTACATCTGAACGACAACCCAAAATGAGACAATCTCATCTAACTGTCCCAGAACTGTAAGGGAGTAAAACCCATTAAGAACAAAACTGGAGATGATTAGATATAACCTTGTCCATTTGTGTAAAAAAATCCATTTTACCAGCTAGGAACAGGAAGGGGAATGGATGTGAAATCATCTATTAAATATTCTCTGCTTGGAAGTGTTTTGATTGGGACACACTCACAGGTCTACCAACCAGGCCTTAGAATCAACACTGGGCAAAGCTACAGAAAATACTGCTCATGCTGGGACATGACTGTTTCAGTTATACCGTGCTCCTCTAAAGCATGTATAAGAATCCTTACCCATTCACTTTCCCAGACAGCTCAAATGTGAGCTCAATTCTGAATGCAACCTATAGAAAATAAGCATAGGAGGAAGGGTGCTAAGTGAACCTCCAGCATGGTATAAAGCAAGACAAGTTTCTTCCCCTCCAATAAGGACTGAAGGCACAGTTCCGTCAGTATGACAGGGAACAAACCAACAATCCACAGAATGGCATCAATCCCTCAAACACTGTGTTCATTACTTGCTGTGACTACGTTAAGTAACCTTTTTGTTGTCTCTTCTCATTCCTGCCAGACAGTGCTATTTACAGGTTAACGAACCCCTAGTGTTTAAGTAAATCAATCAGCGACAGCAAAGCATCAGAGGAATTTGGTGCACATGTGCTACTGAGAATGCAGAAGAGGGCTTTTTTTTTTCCTTGCCATAAACTTACTCCTACAAGGAAACAGCCACACTAAAATTTGCACTAACTAGCTCAAAATATAATCCATACTCAAAGATACAGTAAAATGTCTATCACCAATATTCAGCAATACCTATGCAGAGTTTAAAATACTACATTTGTGCTTTATGAACTTCTTATGAACATACTTATTGGATATCCTCAGCCCTCATTCCAGCTGACTTTACTCTGTTGAAGTGAAATCTGTAAATCCTTTTAGGGTATATAAATCACACCAACATTTTCAACATATGGAAGAAAACCTGGGTTGCTGAAGACCAAACATGTAATTTACAGAGAATGCCTCATTCTACAAATCAAAGAGAAACTCCTGTGGAAAGGAGATACTTCTAAATACATCTGACTTATAGTTTAGTGACATTTACAAGGCAAGTCTTCTGGAAAATTCTGTTTATAGTAGATTGATTTTATACTTGTTTTTCAAAAGAACACAAATCAAAAAATGTGTAAAAAGGAGGATCTCTTGTAAGCAGTCTCCTCTAAATCAAATATACTTACAGACTGCTTAAACATATTTAATTGCTCTTGCAGGCTCTGGGCTTTGTCAGCTTCTTTTTTCATCTCACTGAAATTCCACTTGAATTGTGCAAGTTTTAGGCGCAGTGAACGGCGTTCCACCTCTGCTGTATGAAGTCTTTGTGTAAATTCAAATATTTGCTTCTGCAAGGATGCTATGCTTTTCTGTTAGTAAACAGAAATAAATTCATGTGCTATAAAATGCACTATTTTAGCAACAAAGCCAATCACATTTAATAACCAAGAAAATTAGACAAAGCTGTCATTTTGTATTCCATCTGTAAAAGACACACACGAGTGCAAAAATGTGAAACTGTTTCACCTACTGTTGGGGGTTACTGAAAATTCTGTTTTCAAGCAGATACCTGTTTTCACGTAAGGCCCACAATAAAAGACAAATTATGTAAGAAAGAGTTTATCCTTCCATTTTGGTTAAAGGGGAGAAGGTTATGTTTACTGAAAGACAGAATACTAAGCAGGAAAAAAAAGAAAGGGAAAAAAAAAAAAAGAACCACCTTAACATTTTGTTAAAGGCAAAAGCAAGTTTGTTCTTATAAAGCAAATGTAATTTTGATAAAACTTTAAAAAGTCTTTTTCTTGGATACATCAAATCTCTTCTTAAAATTATCTGACAATAGAAGAAAAGATCTATTCATGCCCTAATGATTTTGGTGTTGCAAATCAACTTCTGATTCTCTACATAGTTGACTTCAATGTAACAGACTCATAAACAATCTGAAACAAAATTAATGGTACCATCAAGAGAGCTTCACTGTAACACTTATGCTGTGAACCTACTGTTTACATGAAGTGGCACTATAAATATGCATACCGTAACGGGCAGTCTGTCACACAATCCAGCTTCCAAGGCCTGGGTATTTATTTTATGAAGTCCATGAGCCAGCCTCTGTACCAAAGAGTCTTTCTCCAGATGAGTAATACTTCTGCTGCTGTCTAGTGGAATAGTCTCCATTATTACATTCAGCTTGTCCATAAGTTTTGAAAAGGAGTTCCTGGCTGCACTTGCAACTAAGTGTCCAGAAAGCCAGGGCTTTGGATCTTTCAGAAACAACAGCAAAAAAGAAACATCAAGTAGGTTATTAGTTTCTTTTTTTTTTTTTTGAAGTGCAAAAAAACCCAACAACAAATAGCATCTTTAAAACTCAGTAGGAAATTTCCATTGAAGAGTAGAAGACTGAGCTCACAGGATTATCTCAGAGAGACCTTGATACACATTTTGTATTTAGCAATGAACACTCTATTCCTACCAATCTTTGGATGGAAGAGTAGGATAGGATTCTAAAGAATAGGATTTGTTTGTCAAAAAATAATTTTCCAGGTTTTTTTATGGTTCTCCTCCAATAGTATACTTTCTTAAGTCATTCTTGGGTGTTCTAATTTTGTAATTCAGGAAACATATAAGGCAGATGCAAGCAAATGCAAGCCAGGTCAAGTATGTCAGATGTGATAGCACACGGTAAATCACTATATCGCAATATTTACAATGCAAATTTCTGAGGGTTTCCTGACTCCTCTTCCCTCCCCTCTATAGATGTCTAAATCATTTGCTGTTGAAAATTAGTGAGGCTTGGTACCTTAATGCCATACTATTTATATTCTGAGACAAGAGAATATAATTTACCTTATTCCAAGGCAATTAAAATTTTACAGCTACAATTACTTATTTCCCCACAGGATTTTGGTAATCATCCTTCTCATATAATGGACTTAAGGCCCCAGCACACCCAACATGTCCTGCTTACTGCTAGATTCGTCAGGTCTGTAATTAATAATTGTGTTTAATGTTGATAAATAAAATTGTCAGTGCTCCTTCCACTAATTGGTATTCCAGATAACAGTTAATAGGTTTATTTATGCCTTAATAAAAGTCTTGTAATTTAGTTTTCCCTCTGCTAGGCAGGTCTTAATCTGTCATTACTTGTCTTATGATACTATCAGTGTAAGATGACAAGCATGGAAGAGCTTATTTACATTCAGTAGTACAGCAGATCTCCTGTTGCTGCAGTGAATTAAAATATTTACTTAAGAGTATAAACAGAAAAAAAAGAACAATAGCTTTTTTAAGTTAAAGAATTTCTTTTTATAAATGGGGAGGATAAAACCAAAGTTCAAAGCAAACAAAACATGATTATTGATATTTTCAGATTATAATTCTCATGAAGAATTTATCATTTACACATATGAGATAAAATTTATCTGCAAGAAAAAAAAAGCCACATGATAAACTCAAATATTCCTTTTTCAGAGCCATTCTTCTGCTTGGTTTCAAAATACCACCATTCCAATGACTCCAGTTAAGCACTGGAGTACCACTTTTGAGTATATGCTCTCTATAACCCCAGCTATTAGTAGATCTGTCTTTTCTTCATGTCTAAGATAGCACTCTTTCTATTCATGATTAAAGCTAAAAATCTTACCCAGCATTCTTCTCATACCCTGAAGAAACTGCTATTGCAATGCTCTGTCTACTTTGGCCAAGGTTCCTCTCTTTTCCTTATGTCAGCTCTCTATTACCAATCACACGAAAGATAAGCTACCTTCATCATTTTAACTCTTATCACAGATTATCCTGTCCTACCTGTCTTTCAGTTTCAAAGACCATCTCTTTTCTCCTGTCATCATGCATTCACTAGTTTGAATGTTTAGTTAAATTAACTTGAAATTAAAACTAGAACATTTGTACTGCCTTCCATGTAAGATGACACCAAAATCTTCTAAAAAGCTCCCCCCTGCCATGATTTTTGGTAAATATCAAAACAAGGATATTGTCAATGCATCACTGTTCCTTCATTTTTCCTAGTATTTCCACCTGGTATCTCATTTTACACAAGATTGCCTGTGTGCCAGAAAATACAGTATTTCTCCATATATGCAGTACCTAGGATGACAGCCCCTTTCCCTATGTCTAGAACCCCCACTTAACTGTACTAAAAATAAATCAATAATAATAGTTCAGGCAATTGTGCTGTAGCATTTTGAAATGATCATGCCACTTCACAACCAGGATTCCTATTATCCAGCATCCACAACTTAAGTCACTTTCTTGGGATGGGAAATAAGAAAGTAAATCATTGCCTCTGTTGGGGTTTTTTTATGAAGAACAGTTTGGAATAAATACACAGAAATATGTCGATGCAAGTTACTGACTTCTTGGAAAGACGAAATGAGAAAGTAATGCAATTCCACAAGGAACAGTATCTATAATCATTGGGAAGAGAATATACAGTTTAAGTATATACAATTTAAGTATCTGCCCACAAAGGATCAAGTAATTACAATAAAAGTATTAAATTATATACATTGCCATGTGTATAAGAAATTGTTAACACAAATACAGGTATATCACAGGGCAATTAATTGTTATATTAAATAAATGAAGAAAAAGACAATGAAAAGTGACAAATTTACTTCACTGACAGATGAAGAAAGAATTCTTGTTTACTCTGTTTTGGTGAAATATAACAGTCAGCAGGACAAACTTAGTAATACTACACAAGACTAAAATTGTCATGCTAAGCTTCAAAAGCTTGTGTATGTAACAGTTGATGATATTTGTATTCAAAAAGCTTGACCTTTACTTTCTCTGGTTTATCGCAGTACAGATTCTGTTCAAACAAACCTACAAAACTCACCTTAGAAAAAAACAGATGAAAACAAAACAAAAAACCCCAACACTTTAATGAACTTGTATTCAAACTGAAGCTAAGAGATCACGTCAAGACATGCTGGAATGAGAACCAAACTAATGAACAGTGTGAAGGGAAATGATCGTGCATTACAAACCAAGACCACTTTTTTTAAAGTTAAAAACTTAAGAAATGTGCCTCAAATCACCAGAGTGCACAAGTCCAAAAGTTCCAGTGTTATCCGAGTGATATGGATTTGGTTTCTTTCAACTGCCTCAAACGTTTCCTCAGAACCTAGCCATCTTTAAAAGCAATTTTTAAGGCACCGAACCATTCCATATTGTAGATGCAGATAGTGCTTTCTTGTGCCTACTCTCTCCTGTGATGTGCAGTCTAATCTGGAACTGCCATTATTTCAAGATCTGAAGAGAGCAGATGCCTCTCAGATTGCCTATTTACATTAAAAAAAATTTTTCAAAATAATTTAAGCCAGTTTGAAAATTTAAATCCTATTTGAAATAGGACTTACAGAACATAAAATAATTTCCTAAGTATGCAAGCTTTCTTTCAATTATATTCCTTCAGAGCCTTATCACTTCGATACTTCTGGAAATTTCATGTCAAACTTTAAATTATTTATTACTATTTTTTGAATCAAAGGTTCTTGGAATACTTTTGATCTCATGAGCAATGGAATTCCAAGTAATACATGAGCAGTTAGATCTTGAGGTTTTGTGAAAGTAACTTAAAATAGAGATAAGCTATGAAAGAATCACCAAACTGACTGTGGCCATAACATTCTTAGCATGGCTTTTCCTAATTCTCAAAATCAAAACTGTGTTCAGTGCAGAGATAGCAAGTAAATACAGTCCACCAGAATTTTCATGTGCTTCAATACTGGCAAAGTATCATAAGGTTTAGGGTATTCCAACCAGTCACTTCAGCACATCGATGCTGCTGTCAAGTTTCTCTTGATACTTTTTCAATTTGCTGTTCTTACTCAACACTGTATGTACAGGAACACTTGCAGTATAAAGCCTCTAAATACCCTGAAACACAGTTCAAACAGTTTTGTAAGGATGTAAAATTAAGTTACAGAAAACAGGATGATCAAAGAAGAGACCACCTAAAACTGAACTGAAACACTTGTGATTCAATGGTTGACTTCTGGTACCAGTTTACTGTTCAGGATTCTGGGAAATAGATCACCTTCTCTCTGTCCTGCTATTTCCCTTTATTCATATAAATTATCCTTCCTTTAATATCCTTATTCTGTGACAGAATTGCTGGGACTTTGAAACTACCAGTTACGAAAGAACTAAGGATGACAGCAATGCAGAGAAACCAAGCGAGATCTTATATCAGTCCTCACTGCAAAGACATTAAGGAAGATAGTTAACAGCTGGGAATCAAGAGGTGACATTTCCAGAGACTGGCACATAGGAGAATTCTATATGAAGAGAGACTGAGGAAATTCGGGAGCATAGACACAAATCTAATTAAGCATACACTTAAGAGAGGGAACACAGCAGAGACATAAAATAAGGAGTGCTATACATTGTGTAAGTTGAGAGCATTTTATTTCTCTCTCAAAACCCACAAGATGGCAAGTAAACCAGATGAAAAGAGTATCCATCAAATTGAACTGTTTTCCAGACTTGGAAATTCTAGATTCATATCATATAAAACACAGCAGGAAATTATTTTCTCTCAGCAGCGGTAATGTCCCAGCTTGAATATGTGCCAGTTTTAGGGCCTGCACTTAAGAAATACACAGATCAAATAGACAGAAATTATGTAGATTTTCTCTATAGAAAAAAAATTAGGTTGAGCTTTAGTAAAATACTTTCAGAATATTAGAACAGTGGAACAAGATAACTAGGAAGCTTGTAAGTATTACTTCATTTGAAGCTTTTAAGAACAAGTTAGCCAAATATCTATTGGCGTGGTGTAGTGGGGTTTTTTCCTAGCTGACAAGAAATCAGGCAAACCTGTTTATATGCTTTGTAGAAGCACTCTCCAGCCTTCTGTTTCCATGACTCTGTATACCAAAATGATAAAGTATCATATCACCAATTAAATAAAATCAATCTGTTCCAACAATACAGGTCTCTAGATATTTTATCCAGAATAGTTTAGATAAAATCCTAAAAATGGAGATGATGTAACCACCTGATTATTTTTATCTTCTACTACAATAATATAATTTTAAAATTACCTGTTTTGTTAACAACATCCTGTAATTCAGTGACAGAACTGATTATTGCAGCAAGGAGGTTAGAACTAGTAAACCAGCTGAGTGCTTCAACACAGCGAATTTGTTCTTCTTCGCAACCTGTGAAACAGAATCGTAGCCAGCAATAAAACTGATTTACTTAGATAAGGCACACTACTATCTCCAGCTCCTTCAGAAATTGACCAAAACTAAGTATATAAGCCACAAACTAATTCTTCTTTCAGAACAATTTAGACTGTATTAAATATGCTTCCAGAACTACTAAACCAGAAAAGTAGAAGGATCTTCTGGTTTGGGAAACATTTTTGGTACCATTTAACCTTGTAGGGGGAAGCATGAGCTGGTCTGCTAACAGAAAGGGACAGGAAGACTACATAATCTCTAAAGAAAAATTTAGAAATCCTATCCTAATATTTTACCTGAATCAGAAAGCAATTTTTGCAGTTTTAGTAGGAAAATAAATATTAAAAGTGATTAATAAAAGCAGAGGAAGTATCTTTCCAAAAATAAGTTGATGGTCAATCACTTAGGAACATTACAAGATATTTACCACAGAAAAGATGCGGTAGCACCTAGTTCTGAAATCTGGAACGCAAATGTCAAGGATATCAAAAAGTCTGAGTTCGTGTGTGTAGTTGTAACTTTTTTTTTTTAATGCTTAACAGACTTAAGCATTTCCTTTTAGGGGAAATTACATTTGTCAAGAAATCCAGAACTCACAAATCCAGAAACTACATTTGTCAAAATGTCATTAAATTTGTCTTTACACTCTATTAATAATAGCATTACTATTTGTTATTCACTAACCATGTAATTTGACATAACACTTATCAAAGAAGAAAACAATTAGCTTACTTGACAGATTACGCTTGCCTTTGGAGTCTCCGATACAAACGAGAATTCCAATGCCTTCTTTGAAGCCATTAACCCAGGAGAAGAGGGAATTAGAAGACTGAGCTAAAACTTTAAGTCTGTTAGCTGCCAAAACTGCAATCACACCTCTTCGGAATACATGAATCAGGCCTTTGAATGTTCTTTTTTTCATTTTTGCTTCATCTTGATTGTTTTCTGCTACATCAGAGAGAGCATAAACTAGGGTCCTAATCTCCTGGTTCACTAATTCATAAATGTTGACCTGATCCTGCAGAAGGTCTCTTTGGGAAGACATAGCACAAGATCGGCTATAGAGAGGATACGGGCCCCCTGCCAATAGTGCACAGGCTGCCAGGAGAGCTGAATGCTCCTTCTGAACCTGCATTAACATATTTTTCACAGAAACATTTTCAAGGGCCAATTTCTCCTGTCTTTTTTCAAGGACATAAATTTTTTCCTTGTTTTTCTCTGCTGTTTCTTGGTATTCCTGGGATAAGGGAAAAAAACAAACAAAACCAGAAGAAATATTAACTAGAAGACATTTTTTAAAATAACAAAATCATTTTTACCTAGACAAAAGCTAAATAAAATTAATTTTTTTTCAGATTCAAATAACAGATTAAAGGAACAAACATTATTAGTAATTATTAGTAATGACTGTCGAAGTATCTCTCCTAGCAAACAGTTACAGAACCAGGTATATGAAAACAAATCAATAGTATGAGAAAAATTTGCACAATCTTCAACTACAAATGGACTCCAGATTTCTGACGATAATCCACCAATACTGCAATAGCCCACAGAAAGTCCAACAATACCTCGTTGTCCACAATACAGTTTTATGACCTGGCTTAACAGTAAGCAATTACACGCTCCAATTTCAGAAAGAACATTGCTCTTCAAAGCAGAAAAGAAAGTTAGTGTAAGAGAGAGGAAAAAAAGAAGGAAGACTGGCAGATAAACCTAGGCAGATTGGCAGCAGCTGGGAAAGGGGAAGTAAAGGTGATATCTTAATTACTTTCTAATCAACCCCCTACTTACATATTCACAGATTAATTAGGTCTCATACAAAATTAAGTTTTTTGAAAAGAACAGTGTAATACAGATATTTTTATTTTGACTAGTGCCATTACAGATGTTTTCAACTTGCAGAACATTTTTTCTTTTTCTCTATATGCCCTGAAATAAGGAAAGAGGGAGATTTAAAACAGTAAACCAGTGCAGCAAAATGAAGACACTAACAAGGCAGGGAATGCCAGCACTAAGGTTAGACCATGCAGACTGGTTGCTTTTGATAACATGCAGCTCTTGTACAGGAATCAAGACACTACGCTGGGTCCTCAGAGACTGACTGGCTTCTTGATGCCCGAGAGTCCTCTGATTTGAACAACCACTTGAGGCTACATTTAAACAGGATCCCGTAGTATAAGACAACAAATTTCAGGCACTACTCACAAAGAACCCACAAGCTCAAGTTAAATGCTTACGCTCCAGTTACAATACATGGACTCAGAAAGGCAAACATGAATGGCACGACAAATCCATATTATGAAGAAAAGAGTGAATTATGCTAAGTTCCAGCTACCCCTCTTAGAGCTATAAGTAATTTTGTTAAAAATGGAGAGAGAGGTTAGCAGTGGCCAAAAGAGAAGTAAAATGGTGTCATCCAGCCACATTCCCATGTGTTCTGTTTGGTACAGGTCCCCAGCAAGTGGTGAGGCGGGCACCCTAGCTTTTTGACCCTCCTCCATCCTGCAAGAACAACAGGCAAAAAAATAAAAAAGCTATCCCTAGAATGGAAATTAATTGTATGGAGATGTACCCTAGTCACTTCAGAATGTCTTTGACCAAATTAATTTTTTTTTTTTTTTGAAGAGGAAGAATTTGTAGTGTTACTAAAATACTTTCTGTGATACAAAAATAGAGTAGGTAACTAGAAGATTTAATTACAAAATGCAATTTACAGGCCTCATATGTCACTTTACTACTCTAAAATTAAGTACGAACATGTACAATACTTTCAGTGCTACTGCATTATTTACAGTGTTTGATTTTTATAGAAAAAAACCCTGATAGCATGACTGGAAGGAACTGAAAAGGTAAGCTGAATTTAGAAAACAGCTTATGGTTTCTGGCCATCACAGGTGAAAGGCCAGTATCTGAGTAAACAAAGTGTGATCCCTACGGGGCTGTTGGGCAGCAATACTAACATTCCATGCTCTGGCTAATTAAAGCTTATTTTTTAAAAAAGCTTAGTGTTTTTATGCTTATGGTTATACGGTAATAAGCAAAAGGGAACAGGACAATCTCTGACTACAGAAATGTAGAAGTTTTGTAAGAAAATACACCTTGATTTTACCAGCTAATAACTGCTTTTGTCTTACCCCGCACTGTTTCTAGTGTTTTCTTTGAAGCTTAAAAGCACAGTTTTTGAAAGGGACATAGAACTCTCTTCCTAACATTGGCAAGCCAGCTTCCTTCAGCGTTTGAGCTTTGAGGGACACCTCACTGGGCTGCAGAACTTGGCGGGTTCCCAAGAATCCTTAACAAAAAATCAGGTGCTACTAGCAACACTGTTTTATCCTGCTTCTTACTGGATCCTTACCCTTCATTCTGGCATGGAAACAGAACTGGAAACTAGAAATATAATGACACTATGACTTGAAAAGGTTTTCCTGTATTTCAGCCGTTTTATTTTTCTAAATATATACATCTATATATCTAAATAAACAACTTCAACAACACTGTCCTCCATTTCTTTCCTGTAAGTACATGGGCCAGACATGTCTATCAAAGACACCTAGTGGGTCAGGAGCAGTATAGTTATGCGTACTTCTCCTTTTGCATTGATTCCACTGACTTTTGAGAAAATTGCAAGATACCACAGCCTTTAGCTAATTCACCTGCCTTGCTGTAAAAGCAAGGCTTCCAAACCAAAAAAAAAGGCAATAAAAACCATTTTTCTCCCTAGAGAACTTTTTCCCTTTTCTATTTAGCAAACCTTTTATTTTTCTGTTGAAATTAACATTTTTAACATAGTTACAGGATTTTTCTCTTACAACATGTTTTTGCATATCAGAACAAAACCCTTCTATTTTAAGTTGTTGCCACAAAAAATGGGGACAGATTAATAAATGTGTACATAATAAACAACAACTGATAGTTAAAATTCAGAGGACATTTCCTATGAGACTGTGCACAGTCTGAATAAATAATTTGTGTGAGGCTAAGGAACAGACATAGTAACGTTTTCAAAATGGCACACTATGAGATCAAGAGGATGGCACTCCTGCTACAAAAGGCAAGGAAAAAGGATATGCATTTTAAGCTCCATTGACTCTCCAAGCATGCAAGGGGTAAAAGATACTCAAGTCTTCAAAAAAGCAATCAGGATTAGGACAGCCCTAGCAGCAGACATCCATGGACCCTATGGATCCCAGAAAGGGAAAGGCTTAATCTGGTGTTTGCAGGTCCAAAGTCAGTCACAAATTAGAAATCCAGAAGAAATTAGACTGTCTTCTTCCCAGACTGACACTGAATGGTAAGGAAGGCAAACTGGAACATGGGATGGAAAAAAGATGAGACAAAGTTTTGTTGAATCATCAAAGTGTATACAGACATTGCGCTGCCTAGATTACAGCACTACCAGCCTGTACTCCAACACTACATAACCTGTGTCAGAAAGCATGCCTAGATGTTTCTAAGGGAAAGCATTTCCTTTTTAGAAACCCAGTAGTCCTGTACAGCAAGTTGACAGATAAAGTCTTTTCCAGAAGACATGCCTAATGCACACTCCACAAAAGAGAGCCAGGTTTTCAGTACATGGTCTGCTTGCTGTCTACACAATTCAGCTAGGAAGACTGGGAGGTTCAGCACCATCCCGAAGAATGGCGCAGTAATGCACAGCACCAATTCTCCACAATACACTAGAGTTCTGTAAGAGAGGACTCAGACCTTTCTTTTGTGCAGCATCCATAGAAGGTAGAAATCTGAAATGCGTAACTTCACTTTAGGAAGTAAAAGTAATTTTTTAAATTAAAATTAAGCTTTCTCCTTTCATCATTCTTTCTGCTGGCAATCATTTCATAAGATGAAACTACAGGATGTTGGGGGAACTTAGTATAGTCTGGATGCCACTTATTCCACTCATAGGGATGTTTTTAGCATTGTCAATATCCAATGTAAATATCAACCAAAAATATATACAAGATTTCCCAAGAAATTACCATAAGTTGCTCTGTCCAAAGAATACTTTACAAATACATTTTTTGGAGTGCAAAGACTTCCAAGCCCAAAATCTGAGTCAAATACAGCATTCTTCTGATGAAGAAAGTTTCAGATAGCAGTCAGAAATAACAAGGCATATCTTAGTTTCTCTATTTCACAACACTTTTAACTGAAACACATGTAAAGTAATGTGACTGTAAAGACAGTGAACTGTGGTTCTAGAATAACAGTGAAAATTTTAGACTGCAAATAACTTTTCCAACAATCAGTGATGACAGTTTTACACTTTTGAACCACTGCTCACTGTAGTATCTGTATAACAAAGTCCTTTAATATTGTTGAAATCTCCCACTGTAACTGCTAATTGGTTCTTAGGGTCAGAAGGTATATACCTAAATTTATCCCCTGATGACACCATATTACTGTTACTCTACAGAATCTTTCAAAGCATGACACTGAAAAAGTAACTGCTGCCCTATATAATTCTTAAAATAAGCATTTTCAATCTTACAGCTTTAACATTTCTGTAATGTTTTAACAAAGTCATATACTTCTTATTATAAATGAAGTTAATACTACCACGTTGTTGGTTTTTTTTATTTTAAAGGTATACTAAAAATTCCCAAACAACCTTAAGTTGGTTAGGAGCTTAAACTACTGAAATAATCCATTAAATATTTACAACAAAAAAAAAAATCAGAAGTTCACAGCACCATACCTGTGCCCTTGCATGAACTTCCCCAAGGAGACCCGAGTACTGCTGTTCCAGATACTTTTTTTGTTTCTGCCAACAGCTTTCCTGTGCTTTCATCTGTTCAGCCATTTTGCTAAAAGCATCTTCCTGGTTCTGCTGAAGCTCCTTCATAGTATCAGACTTGTTCTTACAAACATATTCTAAGTGAGATATCTGTGTGACAAGCATTTAAAAATAAATTCTTTTACCTCTCAAAACACCTTTTTACTTTTAATTGTACATATTAATTTAAGTACGAACTATTCCAGCATAAAATCTAAACTGTAATTTCTTCAACGCTTTTATTAAAACTAAGTAAAAGCCTTTCACAACAGATTACTTACTTAAATCTTGCAACAAAACTGAGACATATTTTGGAACAATGAATCTTCCCTGGTTTCAGTTTTGCCATCCTTATACACCTTGCAGATATCTGTTGTCTTCTTTGTTGGAAACCTGAACTGGACACTTCCCTTTTTTTGAAACAAATGCATTAAATCTTGTGCTGCTAAACTAGTAATCTGAGTATACCAGTCCTTCAGCAGTTTGCAAGGATTGCAAGTAATAATGAAAAAACAGCCCCTGATTTTATTTTTTCTTTTATTGGAAAGCCAAAACATTTCATATATTATTAAGTATTAAAATAATTTCAGAAAATTTTAGCATACAGAATGTTTTTCTCACAAGTAGATCATTAGTTTATGATATATTTTCAACAAGCATGAAGGGATGCACTCTGTGGTTTAACTTTGCAGCTCCCATGCAAACTAAATGGCGGAATGAATCACACTAACTATTACCTCTAAATACACATGCCTACACTTTGTTGCTAGAGAACATTGGCAAGATACCTTCCAAATAGATGACACAAAACTGCAGGAGAAAAATTTTGTTCTCAGAAAGCAGGTACAAGACAAGTAACACCACCACCCCAAATCCCTGAAAAGCTGGTATGTACATGAAAAGAGCTCTAGAGACCTCACAATCAATCTTAATAACCATACTAAACTAAAAAGCAAGAAACAATAAGACACAAACCCCCCAAACACTGCAAATAATGTTCACTCCCTTCCATTCCCTTTCCTCCTCTGCTTCAAAAGGAAAATAGAAAGGAACGTCTAATCTGCATAATCCAGATTTTATGCTATCCCTCTTTAGTAATTTCCATTGACTGCTGGGGTATTTACTAAACGATGGGCTGAGACAAAACCATTGACCGTTACCAGTCCTGTCCCTTACTTGGGCCAGAAGAGTGGTCACAATTCCAGCAGATGACAAACATCCAAAAGAGCTTTTCCCTTCCTGTGCCTCAAGAACAATGTGTCAGGGCAACCAAGATCTGGAGTTGCTCTACTAGATTGTAGGACTGGCCTGATCAATGGAGCCAGAACATGAACTGAAATCCTTAAGACTGGCATATGTCAGTCTGTGGAACCAGTTTAAGTTATTTACAAAGAGGTCTTTTCATTCCTAAAAACACGGGGATTTCTGGGGCGAAAGGCCGCATAAGCTTATTCACATTAAAATAATTCAGAAAAGTACAGCTTCTCCCTTAAACAAATACTGACATGTTTTATAAAAACAAGTATTTTCTGTTGTATTTCTGAATACAAATTTCATAATCCAAAACTTACAATTAAACAAAACCCCACACTGGCATTTTTCAGATAGTACCTCTGAATCATAAACATATAATTTAAAGATGATGTTCCTGGAGTAAGTGCATTGCATTTCTGTTTTATGCTAAAATAAAGACTTGCTTTATTAGTGTAAATGACTAAGTTCTTTGAATTGCTTCATCAGTAAGATTAATTTATTTTCTTTTAATTAGGTCCCTGTGGCTAATATTGGCTAGTACTATTAGCATGTCCTGCACAGGAAGTGGAGCTTAGAGACTTCATACAGACTTCAGTCACATTTACATGCCCACAGCAATGGCATCAAACTGAGTTGTAGACAAGCCATAATTAATGGTATTGAATTATTAACGTCCAAATTCTTTTTGAAATAAGATGAATGTCAGTCCTTTTTAATGATACTGTGATGTGGACAAATGTCACTGAATTTAATAGAGGTAGCTGGTGCCTAAGGACACTTACCTTCTCATTAGCCCTGCTGAGGTCTAAGATCAGGGCATCAACATTCTCCTGCAAGACTGCACAAAGCTCAGACCAAGAGAATCTATCCAGGATGCCTTCTGGTTGTTTTATAAGCACACAGCCTGCTACCAAACGCTGGTATAAGCTATGGAGGAAGGTTAGCTTGTCCTGAGACAGAACGAAAAATAAACTGTTGTATCTGAACAGTGTTAGAATCCGAAGAGATGCATCATAAGTATAATAAAGTGAGCTGCACACAGCTGAGAAAAAAATACAAAGCTCATTCTCAAACCTTTTCAAAATTCCTTAGTTCCTTGTTAATATTTGCAGTCATACATATTAAAGCCAGAGGAAGAAAACATTTTTTACAAAATTTGTCTAATTAGACACAGTATATAAATAAAGAAAACCCAGTCCTGCAGGAGTCACAACCATGACCTGATACAGATAAAAACTTCTGTGCTACCAGTAGATGCAATTTAACCATTCATGTTAATACTTTCACATACGTTCATATCGTACCCACCTCCAATATCTGCATAGCATGCAGAAAATTGTCTAATTGGCTTAGCCGCACAACACACTGTTTATACAACTATCACTCTAAAGTCTTTTAAAAATTCTTTTTACATGGATTATGTATGACTAAATAGCTAGACAAAATAGGCTTATAGCTTCATGAGTTAAATTCCACAAGCCACGTCTCATTCATTTACACTGATTTTAGTCAGTAGTACAATAAATTGATGCCAGTTTTAAATAAACTTTGGCAACAATAGCATACAACAGAAATTCCAGCCTTCATCCTTTCAGTATACATATGCAACATAGTAACTTTGATTAAGACAACAATAGACAACAATTGTGGCACCTCAAAAGCCACAAGAAACAGAGCCTTTATTCAAAGTCAGTAAACCACTGTAAAGGCTCCCATCATTTTCTGGGGACCTTGGATGAGGCTTTACATCAAGAAATTGTGAATGACCAACATGGGGAACTATGTTTTTTCTGAGCCCTTTCCATTATACTTAGGTGCATTTTCTCACATTATTTCTTGGTGTTTTAGGCAATAAGAAAATTGTATTTTAGTTTAGTTTGTTTCTAGCAGATCTCTTAATTCCCCAAGGAAAATCCAGTGTGTCACCATCAGTACATTTTTGCTTGAGCTATGATAAACCAAGGATGATGATTATCCATTTGGTGTGAAAAAAGGGATCCCAAGACTCAAAATCAATTCACACATGTTGAATGCAACCACAGTGTTGTAGACATGCTGACTTTACAATATAGCCAGGCTTCTAGTTTCCTTCACTTTAATCATTATCGGATGTGTATAACCATTCCAGCTGCTTCATGTGGACACTATTTAAATACCAGACTGTAAAAGAGGTGGAAAGAATGTTTCCTTTTTATTCAGTTGGCATCCATGTCCAAATTTGTGGAAGTAATGAGCTCAATATGCACAACAACTATGATAAAGAATATCATTGCTAGTACCAGAACTGCTTTATTGGGGGGAAAAAGCAACAAAATTAAGATCTGTAAACAAATATAAGGAGAGAGATAATAGTTCTGAAATAAGACTTTGTGAAGCAACTCCCACATATAGCACACCACAATGAGCTAACAGGTCACAAATAAGAATTTCTAGGTTTTGTGGCATGCAGGCAAAACTGCCTCAATTCCACATTTGCTATTTGCTATCTATCAACTGCCATGGGAATCAGTAATTAACAACACATAATGATGATACTATTGTATGTTCCAATTGTAAAACATTTTTGTTAACATTTGAACGAAGGAAGTAATTGTTCACCAGGTGTAGCTCTTTAAATAAACTCAGTTGTTCAAAAATTCAAAATACTGGAAGGGATAAGCTATTAGTTCTGATATAGAAGGAAGGAGAACCAATATGTCCTGAGATCTTGTAGATACTAAATACATATTTCAAAATACATATCTTAAAATCATATTTGGGGGTAAATCTGTTAAGACTAAGAGTAACCATCTGATGTATGTAAATGTATAAAGCTGAGATTAAATAAAGACTCTTTTTGACAGTCATCTTGTCTCTGGTAATACCTCCATATCCTTCTGGTAAGCCCTGGTAAGCTTCTGGATTTCATTTTCAGATTCTGTGGCATGTACTTTCTCCTTCTCCCAGCATTGCCGTACATTCTGTAGTTCCATTTTTAAAGTTCCCATTAAAGTCTCTCTGTATGCACACTCAGTGTGCAGATGATTTAACTCTTTATTGGCATCAGCCAGGTTATCCTGAGCTTCCTGTAGAACAGAGGCATGGAACAGAAAAGCTGGTAAGAATTTTACTCTATAAAATGTTACCTTAGTCCAGTGCTCAGCATCTGAGGAAGTGAACGGTCATATAGCCACCCACATGTTTTCAGAAGACTCCAGGCTAAGCTGACTGTATCTTGTCAATAACAGAATTTCAAAATTGACAATAGCCCTTCTCCACAGCTTGTAAGTAGACAGCATCAGAAATCCATCTCTGAGTTAAAAGCTCCATGATGCAGTGACCTTCAGAATCCCCTCTACCCCCACAACTGAGATGCAGAATGCATGAACACAAGTTATCCTCTGCAGAGTGGGAAGCTCTCAGAGCTAGTGAAATGATACGTTACTTTTGTAAGTAAATCTCCGATCCATTACAGCTGAGTCGGTAGGCAACACAGACAGCTGTTGTTACCCACTGTATTCTTTAATTAAGATGAAAAAATTTGGTAAAAATGCATGATAAAAAGATGTGAGGACTCTCTTTGGAGGTTTGACCATGGGAAGAAACTAACAATGAGAAATGGACATAAATACAATCATTATGTTACCAGTACCAAATCTCACAAGGTAAACAACTTAATTCACTAACGCTTTTCAGCCAAAAGATTGCTCAGATGGAGTGGACAGGTACACATGCTTTCCTCTCCTACAAGCACTGGACTTCCAGCACTGCTGAAGTTTGCTAAAGGTCAAACTGAAAGCATTGTTTGTTTTTCATAAAATCATAGCTGCTTATATAAGAAACAGAATAGGAAAGATACTCCCAAATTTATCAGACAATGACAATTTTATTCTTCTTAATGAAAATATTAGAAATTTAACATTGCTTTAATCTTTTAACAGAAACATTTTCAGACTGGATCTAGTTTTCACTCTTGTATACAATTTTATTACCAAAAATTTAAAGAGGTCAGAAACTGGTGTACTGCATAAAAACGAGCACCCTCTGTATGTAGCAAATTTGGTTTTTGCATGAAGAATACAAGTATCTGTTGCAATGGGTTGCAAAATTTTTAGGTGCCTTACAAATGTGCTGCAACAGAAGCAGAAGTTTTAAGTCGTCTGAATATAAATTAGTAAATAAAGTTCAGATGAGATGACAGGAGATCATGTGCAAATATCTATTAATATGAAGATTCAATGAGTGTTGCAGAAGGATCTGTGACTAAACTGAAGTGACAGAGTAGCATATCCCCACCAAAAAATCTGAGAAACGCTGGGAGTAGAGACATTCTATTTTGGCAGTAATACAATACACTGCCAGTTGGGAGATTAAGTATAACCATGACCTCAGGACTTCCTCACTCCCTTGGCCACTGATGTAACCAGACAGGACATTACAAAAGTGGCGTGTCAGCCAAAAACAGAGACAAAAAAAAGTTCTTGTTCAGAAACTAAAGAAAAAGAGTTCTCAAGTGTTTTTATCAGCTCTGAGGTAGTTTTTGCTCTAAGAAATTTTGGGCTGCATGCACATTGTCCAACTGTCAAGGATGACCTGATGCTTCATACATGCATTAACTTGTCTGATAAACAAACAAAAAAAATTAATGAAGGAAAGGACATCTTTAAAAAAATGTGCTTACAGATGAACAGAGGTAATTGAATTATCTTCCCCTTTTCTTGAGAAAAGAGTTAAGAGAAAAAAATTATTGATGCTGATTTCGATATAAAACAATACTCTGCAAATTGATAAAACTATTTCAAATTATTTCAGAAGTGCAATCATTGAAATGATCAGTTATGTAGTCTAAGGTGGTAACTAGAATAAAGCAGCATGGCTTCACACAAGCTTGCAACATAAACTAGTCTGCTCAACAGAACACAATGATACAGAGACTTATTTTGATAAGAAAAAAAGATACCTTAAATCCAGAAAGACACTTTTTGCAGAACTTTCAAATTTTATGTTAAGTTCATGAAACCATACCTTAAGGTCTTGACTTAAAGCAAACATTTTCTCTTTGGATATCTCAAGTTCTTTTGTCATCTTTTCACACAAAGGCCTCATTTTCCCAAGCTGTGAAAAATACAGAGGTGAAACAGGCTTTAACAGAAAGGCTACATAATCACTTCAATATAAAGGAAGAATTTTGTATATAAATGCAAAAAAAAAATTTGTTTTCAATTCCTCTGACAATATTTATACTCCATACAATCTAAATAATGTACCATTACAAAAGCACTAAATAACTCTTTTATAATCATTTAAGATAACTAGCAGTGGCAGAATCCCAAACTGAGTCCACTATTAACTTTTCCATTAACTCTCAAAATATCTGACAAAAACACAGACTTTGAAATGCATGTGAAAATGTAATAAATTCAGATAATGATCTGGGGAGTGGTTTGAGAAAACAAGTTTTCAAAGTCAGTGGCCATTTGCAGAAATTGTCCAGCTACGAGCATGGTCTCTACTTTTTACTGAGCACTGAATAGTACTCACATACCCATAAAAAGTAGTAATGTTCCCGAGAGGCATGGTGACTACTGAACTGTTTGTGGTGTTACAAGCAACCACCTCAGAGGTAGCTCATGGCCATAATGTGTATTAGCTTCACTTTGCACTTTCAGAAAAGATAACAACACATCATTATAATCTCTGTCTTTCATTACCTGATGATGAGATTAGCAATACAAATGTCTGAAAGAAAGCATCAAATAGAAATGTATTATAGTGCAGGTTACTGCCAGCACTTGAGCATTAAGGAGCAACTCAGAACTAAAATATCCCATTTACAAAATTTACAAATTATTTTGTAAATCGTATTTTTGTTTGATCTCAAATCAGGAGACCTGGCAGAACCCTTAGAAATAATTACAGTAAATTACAAAATGCTACTGGAATATTTACAGTCCTTTTGTTGGTTTACTAGCCTTCTCTCTCTCCCCAAACATATTCTAGCCTCTGTACTACACAAAATGTCAAAAGCTTGTTATCTGTCAAAACCAAAACACTTATACACCTTTCAGTTACATAAATGAACAAGATTGTTTAATCTAATGTTTAACACAGTAGGTTAAAGGTGACACATGACAAGTTTACCAGCATATTTCACGTATACATACAGGTGTACGCATATATTAATATCTCCATCAATATGCAGGGTCTTGTTGAAAATCTCTCTATAAAAAGAACCACTACATAATTACTCAAAACTAAACCCTTACTGCTGTGTATTAAAACATCCTGGTTTTATTGCACAGTGCCCTTCATAGTCCCTTTGTGCATTATTGTATTATTAAAAAGTTTTATTACTAAACATATCTAATATATAAAAAGCCAAAAGCAGCGTTATCTATGGGGGTGGGGGTAATCAAGAAGGACAGAGCACTGCCCTTTCTGTGCACCATGAAGGTGCTCGGTGATCTCTGGCTCCATATGACAACTTCGGGGTCAGTCACACGCAGTCCTACTGGGAAGTCTTGTGGCAGGTCATCTGTTGGTCCTGCTCTGCTTGCGATTTATTTTCCTTGACAGTTCATTCTTCTTTCTGTCAGAATACTCTCTTTGCTTTCTTAGCAGCCACCCCCTTGGTCTCCCCACTGCTGTCTCTGGCACAGTTTCACAACAAAGCACATCACTAAGCCAAAGCCTGCTGAGTCGACTTTTCAACTGTGCTGCCTATCACGTGACACTCCTCCTCCCAAATAACAATTCGCAGTGGGTAATATGTTCCTAGTTACTCTGCAGCTTCCAGACTTGGGTCTCAGAAGAGTTTCATAATGACTATACACATTGGTTCTCTTATCTCACTGGGAGAGACCTAACAGTGCTTGCTGTTTACAAAAGTATAATTGTTTCCATGGTCACTTATTTTTGCACCCGTTGAACAAACTCAAAGGTCTTGTGGGAGACCATTCTTTCCCCAATAAAAGGGGAAAAGCCGATATACTTTTCCTCCGGATTTTTTTTTCTTTTTCATTTTTTTTCTTTTTTTTTCTTTTTTTCTTTTTTTTTTCTTTTTTTTTGAAACATTGTGAGTGACTAGCTAGACTATGCATTTGTCAAAACAAAAGACAAAACCTAGAGATGAAAAAACAGTACTGGCATTTTTACAATCTTATCACACCTTGCCTTTCTGCATTTGCCAATTTTATCCAAAGTTAAGCTAATTACAAGTTTGTACAGAAAACTTTAACAGTGCAGCTAACTTCTCTCTACAAGCTTTAAAGCCACAAATTCATAAAACATTTACACCCAAGAGGATTAATTTAATCACATTAGCAATACAAATGAGAAAATAAATGCAAGATTGTGACTTTTCAGTCAGTGAAATAAAAGGCCAGTAGGACTGCATGGAAAACATTTGATTTTTTTCAAGGGTAAGACTTCCAAAATTAAATATTTCCATTATTGTCTTAGATAACTTAAAGAAAGTATTTTCATGGTCCTATTTTACTTGAAAAGACCTCGAAATAGCACCAGAAGAGATTTCATCATGAACACACTCATGTCAGAAAATTATGCCACTTTTTAAATGTACAAGGGCATGCACATTTACATAACGGATACCAATGACTGTTCAGGCTCAAGTGTTGCATATTTAGGAATATTGTGATATACACTGCCCAACTCTCAAATCATCACCTTTTAACTGAAATCCTAGATAGGAATGGCTTGTTTTCCTGAATGTTTATTGAAAATAATAACCCCAACAGGTTTAATAAGAAAACAAAACCAAATTAAACTAAAAAGAAAAAAAGAAAAAACCTCTTCTCCCTGTGCCCCCAAATGTAAGCGAAACTTCACTGTAGGGCAAGCTTAGAGAAATAGTAGTGACAGAGATTATTTCTTTGGGTATATGTGAAGCTGTCAACTCAACATTCCCACTCTTCTGACCTTTTTTACAAGCAAAGTGTATGTACTGCTGCAGGCCGAAGGCGATACGTATAGAGCCAAACAGTGCAAGTGTTACCTCATTAGACATATCTTCCAGCTTGTTCTGGTAAGCTGTCAAGGTACACCTCAAAGTCTCAAGGACAGAGAGGCTCGGAGGTTTATCTTTGTCCTCACAGGCGCCTGAAGAAAAATACAGAATGAAAATTAAGCCTTAAAGCCACAGAGAGAAAACTACTCACTCTGGATGAGAGGTATTAAAATTAGTTAGGGCTTCAGTGACAATACAAAACACTGAACAGCAGCCTTGTTTGCCACAAGAGATGCAGCTGAATAGGCATACTTTCACAGCAAATGCAGCTGAAAGACATTTGTATAAAAACTTTAATACAAGATACAGAACTGTAAATTCTGGATTACATTTCTACCTAATGTATTTGGTATGCAGTCTCACATATAATTTCTACTGTGGTCAGACCAGCCAAATTTAAAACCACACAATAACACACTTTGAAAAACATGTTGCCTGAAAGTTAAGTATGTTACACTTTTCCTGACATTATTTTGCTGTTGTGACTAAGCATGCATATTATAATGCAGTACTTCATTTACTCAAAGCTTTACCAAGCCAAAGATCACATGACTATGTTATGCTTGGAGAGATCTTAAAAACCTTTTAAATGATCTTGAATTTCATTCCAAAGGAAATAATAAAAAAAATTTATTATCTGTCTGCAGACTTCTACATAATGTTTCAATTATAAATCTTAAAGCTGATATATCCATTATGTACACACTACACTTATTTATTAAACCTTTAGACTGAGACTTCTGATCTGGTTGCCTTAATTAGGGACACATGAACAAGCTTGAGCATTCCAAAGCCCGTAATACAATGTGCTAAGAAAGCAAAACACCACCGTATTGATCAAGAGGTCACAAGATGTCAGCTGATATTAAATTTCCAAGAACAAACTATTAATTTTTTTCTGGTGTTACAGCAAAATACCAGGTTATTGACAGATTCTTCTGCTCAGTATTATTTATATTAGTATGCAGCATTTATAAACTTGTTTTGTAACAAATTATAGTTCATCATTTTCATGAGTCTTAACATGTTCTATAAGCAAAACTAACTTTACCAACGCTAATAGCACCCTTATTTTGCGAAAGAAGTGAAAAAATCAGTGGCATTTGAACTCCAGACGCCAAACAATCAGAACTCCCAGCAGAACTAAATGATGATACAGGTGTTTATCACCTCTGAAATATGAGTGTCACTAAGCAATTTACCTAGGGTGGCTCATAAAGTCAAGTCAGATACTAAACTCTAAGCCTTTTCTTTGGCTCTCCATAAAACTTTGTCAGCTAGAGGAGGTGCACTAACAGACTTGCAGTTTGGGGTTTTTTTTTAAGAATCGTATGGTTAGCACTGTAAGCATGATATTCTACTCAAAGCATTATAAAAAAAATGATAGATTTGTCCTGTAGGCTATACATAATGCACCAATGGTAGTCAGTGGAAAACTTACACATATGCACAAGTCAGCAAGCTGTTCAGCATTTTTTTTCAATTAGCCTCTTCTCTCCCAACCCTTTGATAATACCAGAAAGCATAGAGTACTATTCAGATTGGACACTAACTTTTCACTTTTGACTTGCCAGCCAACTGTTACTGCCAAAAACACACCTAGTCAAACCAACACAGGTTTGCAAGATTGCTTTCAGTAACAGGAGCGAGATCTGCTCTACAGCACACAAGTAAATTTAAAAAGAATGAACATCCCAGTGACAGACTTCTGGTCTGTCCTATCAGCCACTCCAGTGGACACCTATTTACCACAGTTTCTAAAGGTCTACAGAATCAGGGAAAAGCAAAATCTTAATGAGACTCCAGTGCCCTTAACCAAACCTCTGAGTCCTAGAGATGTCCCAAATAGCAAGGTGACACTTAGAATCAACCTAAGAAGAATTCATATAGGTAAGGATGCACAGGGCTCCAGTCCTGTCTTCTCAATTACAAGAGTGACTTCTCACTACTACTCATTGTAGGAACATTTTGCAGTGATCTTGTTGCACAGAAAAAAAGAAAGTACTATTCTTCCATACTTCCAGCTCTAGAGAAGCTGTAACTCACAATTCTCATTCAGTTTAAAATAATACCTATTCAGTCAATCTAGGGGTTGTCTTCCATCCCACAGTTTTCAACAAGCTGTCTAAATAATGTATCTTAATTTTTAAAGTCCTGAACTGCAACGCTGTCACTGAAACATGCCTCTGAACTATCTTAATTTACATCATGTTTGCCAAAACCAGACTTTTGCCAGTAAACTTCCCAGGCTGGCATTCCTTGCCTTTGCTGCAACCCTATTTTCTAGGCAGCCCAGTCTGCCAACAGAAATACCAGATACTACCTTCCTGCACTAGCTGAAAACAAGCCTATGGCTTTAATACTGGCCAAATATTGTCTGTCTTCATACAACTATGCAGGAGACATGCACCTAATCCAAACGGCACTCTCTTGCTGGAGAGGCCCTACTTCAGCAATGAGGAAAAAAAACCCCAGTAATTTGATGCATTTGCCCAGTATCACCTAAGAGTTTGAGGGAAGAATTTTGGGAAAATGCCAGGCTTAATAGGAGTCTGACAGGAGGTATACAAGTGAGTAAACTCTTAAACCTGCTGCTTCAGACTTTCTACTAACGATACTGGGCTTGGCTAGGATAGAGTTAATTTTCTTCATAGCAGCTCATATGGTGCTGTGTTTTAGATTTTTGAACAAAACAGTACTGGTGGCCTGCATTAAACAGTAACACTAACTCAAAGCAGCTAACACTCTTAGCACTTCATACACAGTTCACTTTTTTTTCAGATTGCTAGAACCACAATTTTTTTTTTCCTGAAATGAAGACAAACTTCTCTGAGTTTGCTGAATAACTGCAAAATATGATAAACTGAACAGGACAAACTGAAATCATGCAAAATGCCCAATAAGAATAACAATGCCATGGAAATTTATAAAGGTCACTTAAAAAGGAGAAGACATGGATTTATGCTTGTTAATTTGGAATGTATAAAGAAAAAAATAACTTTTTAAAATACTTCAGGTTTTTAATCTTTAAAAATATAAAGTGTTCTTTTTCTTGTATAGCCCAATAATCACAGCCCAATTAGCACTTAAATGAAGGGGCTGGACCTTTAATATTGACAGATTTTTAAGTAGATCTCTCAACCACTTGCGCTGAAAGTTAAAAACACAAACAAGAAAGAAAGACTGCCCAGCCAGCTGTGGCTCATGTAGCCCCTCATCTGCTAATTAGACTACAAAGATTTATTTAAGATTTTTACTTTTATTGGCATCTAGGCATTTGAATTTCAAATATTACATAAAACATTTTTTTGAAAAGTGAAAGAAATAGTTATGTAATAAATTCCTAAGTACAACAGTAAGGCAACAGCATTAAAAATTTAAGTTTCACACTTAGAAGTGTAGTAAATACGTAGAACAAATGTCTTAGTCAATGTCCATTTTAATATTAGCCGTAAAGACTCAATCCATAGCAGAGCTAATTTCACTTTCTGCCTCAACTGAGCCTCTGCAGAGATGCTGAAGCTTAAAAAAAAAGATCTCTTTAAATAAGATCTTTCAAAGTTTACCTTAAACAAAGCAAATTAATACTGAAGTTACTTTTACTGAATCCCTGATATTATAGAAACAGGTCAAAGCTGTTCTCTGCAAGGTTTACCACTAGGGAGAACAGAAAGCCTACCCAAAAGACAATTACTGCTTTGGAAAGTGCAGTTTGGCAGCAGCATCCAGCTCCCCCTAGAATTCCTGAAGCCCCTCTGGGCATGTGGAACTTTGCAAGATCGGGGAAAACATACAGTTTTGAAGAGCTTTTCAGTCTGACATATCTACAGTAATCGTACAGGTATTACCCACAGGAATTAAATTTATAATTACAGAATAAAACTGATACCAGTTCCCAAATAAAAAAATCATACAGCCCATGCAAGGAAATCAATGCATCACAGGTTCAAGGCTAGGCTTTTAAGGACAACAGAAATCTCAAGAAGGTCCTTTATTGAATTTTAACAGTAACAGGCCTTAAAAAAAATCTTTTTGTGAAGATACAAAAAAATGCATCTTCATTTAAAGGTGTTATACGACCCATTAATGTCTAACATTGTTAAAAAGTGCAGAAATGTATCATCACTATTTATATAAAATAAACCCATTTTCTCTTTAAGCAACATTTTACCTGTTTTCTTCCAGTTTACTTGTACTGTAAGTTGGAAGCATTTTGTTTCTAGTCTGTGATTTTCTAACAGGAACCACATAGAGAAAACTTTTATAAATAGTTTTAATTGAAGATTTTTAAAAGTGTACTATTTTCACCTTTAAAAAAATTACTAGCTTTGATGTTAAAGTTCAGCTTGTTTATGTTAGCCACTATTTCAAATGCTTAAGCAGGCAGCATTTTGTTGAGATTGATACAATAATTGTACATAAAAACCAGGTAACAGAGTGACAACCACTGACTTATAATTAATGAAAACAAACAAATATTTATTCTGTACTAGATCAAATGAATAGAGCAATATAGTACTAGTACACAATCAACAGTAAAAAGTATTGTGTTATATCATGTGTCCTACACAACCTTTTTGCATATATGACCTTTAAGTTGCTGAAGGTTGCCTCAGAATTTGGCTCAGTTCAGGCAAAACATCTGTTCCCTTTGCAGGTATACTGTAAGGACTTTTTTCTCAGTTGGATTTAGAGCACAGCAAGTGAGCCCTTTTCTGACCGATCATATACACACCAGCATTTGTAAATCAAGCTCTGGGCTGACAACAGCAGGTCCACATTCCGTCACCCTTTCTCAGCTAGCAAGGCCATTTGACTGCTGTGAGAACTGCTCTTATCATGTCATCAAATCAAAGCATGTTGAGAAGAGGGAATGCAAGAGGCATCTGCAGAATTCCCACAATGTAGTGACTTTGGAACATTGACAGATGCATCTGTCATTTTATACCTTCAACTAACCTGCTGTCCGCTGGCCTGACATAGCAAAGCTGTCCAAGAGTAACTCCAGCTCTCTCATGTTGTTTTCATACGTCTCTGTTAGAAAGACCTGGTGTTTCTTGGCCTTTATTTGACAGGAGATACAGACAAGACAAGAGAGGAAAAAAAGAAACCCATTAAAATAGTAAACAAAAGAAATGCAGATGACAATGGCATTTTTGTTCCTCCTTAAATTTAAAATTCCTGCTATATTTCTTATTACTCCTTTTCTTGAGCCAAGAGACCTAGCAAGACATCGCAAATAAGTAACACAGAACCCTGAAACACACTTAAAATAGAACTAAAGGCTTCAGGTAGTCAAAAGAAAAAGAAAAAATGGTTGCACTAAAACCTAGTCTTGATCTTCTTCTGCTTCAAAATATCTTACTGAACATTAATTAACTGCTGCCCATTTATGCAAGCAATGAAATCTATTGTTATACCCTGCAAGGGCATCCAGAAAGACACCAAACTACTGGCAGACAGGCTAGAAATTCATGATTTGGCATTCAGTCAAATCCCACACCTATTCTCATTGCAAACCTGCCTACTTTAATTGTTAGTATCTTCCATGCTTGATAGTGATTTCTTCAACATCAAAAACTCCTCCTTATGTATGGAATATAAAGCAGCACAGTCCTTCAGCTCCTACAACTGACTTCTCTTAAAGAAAGCTGTTCACTAAGTGCAGGCTGTTCTTCAAATCAAGACAGTGGCTTTATTCTGAGGGCAGAAAGGTATTTACCACAGATTTTTTAATCACCACAATAGAAAGAATACATCAAATCATTCCTTCAATTTATACCTGGTATTAAAACCTGCAGTTTTCAAAGATATGCATCCGTAATTCCAGACAAGACCAAAGTCCTCTTGGACATATATAATTGTGACTTCTCAAAGAAATGTACAATTTTAGCAGCTGACTGACAAAAAGTAATACATCTCAGCAGTTTAGAAAACAAACAGAAAAAACCACCCACTCAAACAACCCCTCCCCACCCAAATCAAGAGGAAACTAGATTTAAAGGACTTCATGATTTTCTTATGATAAATATTATGCTCAAAGATGTCTCATTACCTTTAATTACTCAATTTATTTTTATTCTAAATTCTAACACCTATTTGAGTAATTTCTCTTTCTACTTGGTGATGGAAGGTTACCCTTTTTGTATTGAGAAAAATCCTACTGTTTTCTATCATATCTATAAACTATTGCTTTAGTTATGCTTCATTGCATGTGTAAAGATTCAGTCAATTTCTCAAGTGTGGGAAATTTCCTCCCAAGGAAAACTGCTACTACTGGTAGCATATAACTGTCAGGCTAAAAAAACAAGAAATGCATTTAATTCTCTGCAGTGTTCTTCATTATTCAGTTTAAATATTTTATAAATTTGCTTTACTCTTTCAATTTTAATTATATGTACTGTATATCAATGAATATATTATTCATATGTGTAGTTCAGTGTTAGGTCCCCTGTAGTATTTACACAACATTCCTTGTGTGAGAGTTTGTACTACACTTCATAAAGAATTTCCAAACCTCTTCTATATATTCAACAGTAACTAAATTTTAATTCTTACTCCATAAAATTATCTACATAAATAGAACTTGTAATTGCTGAGCTCCAGTAAAAATATTTTATGGGATGCAAACACATTAAAATAATTTACTCTCATGTACTGATATCATCTCAAAGACCTCACATGTTAGAAATAAGAAAATATAACAATATGATCAGCACCACAATAAAATAAGTACTCTTCTTACGTAAACCACTCCACCACAGAGAAGGCCAGACTAAATCTTCCCAGAAAAACCTTTTACCACAGAAAAGTCAAATGTGAGAATTTTTTTCAGTCTCCTCATCCAATTTTTTCATTTGGTTTAGTTAATTTACCACAATTTAGTCAGTGTATTCCAGTCTATTCAGCCTTCACGACTTCTCTGTGCTTTATTTGCTAACTGCATCTACACTCCCTAAGCCAATTTCAGTCTCTTTTTCAACAGCAATAAAGATCAAAAGGGAATTCCTTAGACTAGCCGATTTCTCTACACTTCAGCTGCAAAGTATTTAGTATCTTTCCTGTCTAATTCCCATTTTCAGTGACTGTACCCATTATCAGAAATTGAAGAAAGATACTGTAAACTGCAGTGCTGGAAATCCAGGCACAGGTTAAAAGTCCAAATATAAAGATCTAATTTCTTGTCTCACTGACAGTTATCTAGTAAGAATGTGTCAAGTCATAAAATCATGGAATAATTTAACCTGGAGGTCATCTGGTCCCACTCCCCATTCAAAGCAGGGCCATGCTAGAAGTCAGGTTAGGTTGCTCAGAGCCTTCTCCAGTCAAGTTTTGAGTATCCCTAAGGATGGGGTTTCAACAACCCCTTCAGGCAACTTGCTCCAAGTCTCACAATCCTCACTGTGAAGGTTTTTTTTGCCCTTACAGGTAATTATAATTTCCCCTTCTCAAACTTCTGTTTTCTCTCATATTTTCACTGCACAGTTCTAAGAAGAGTGTAGCTCTGTCTTCTCCATAAGCACCCATTTGACAGTTGATGGCAGTAGCAGTAACTCCCTTAGTTTTCTTTTCTTCAGTCTGAACAAACACAGCAAGTATACATAACTCTTTACTTTGAAAGGAAAATGGAGTCCAGAAGTGTAGAAGTCAAACATAATCAATTGCAGCTGCTGAAAGGTATCCTCTGCCAGATCCAGCTATTCCAGGAGATGAGATTACTTCCCTCTCAGCAACTCCATTCATCATCATATTTGTGTTAGGGGATGCCATTCCTGTAGAACTACTGGAAAGGTACTGGTGTGAGTGTTCCCTAGATTACTTCAAAGGGGAAATCAGATGACAAAGTGCTAAAGCCTTTACTTAAAGAGAGCTTGCTTCCCAGATCACATTACTAGAAACAGGTGAAAGACTTACTTGTAAGGTAAGCCTTCTGCTGACTTTGCTTGACTTCCTGCACATCAGGATGGACCATTCTTGACCTTGGAGGTGATATTTGAAAATGACCTTGAAAATCAAAGGCAGCAGGAGGCCTGTATGGGTGCACAAGGAGCTCCTGACTAAATTCATATATTAATAGGAAGCATAAAGGAGGTGGAAGCAGGCATAGGTGACCTGGAATAAATATAGAGAACCTGTCCAAGCATGGAAGGATATGCTTAGGAAAGCAAAAATCCACCTGAAGTTGAATCTGGAAAGGGACATGAAGGGCAACAGGAAAGGCTTGCTAAAGTATATCACCAGCAAAAGGAAGACTAGGCAAAATGTGGGCTTGCTGCTGAATGCGGCAGGGGATCTGCTGACTAGAACACAGAAAAGGCCTTTTCAATGCCTTTTTCACCTCAGTCTTTACCAGTAGAACCTGCCTTCAGGAATCCCAGGTCCCCGAGACGAGTGGTAAAGACTCCTTGTGAAGTTTGCATGAGCACATAAGAATTTAAAATTCTTGAAATATATTAGAAGCATTTCCTATACTCCCCAAACACAATTCCCTCCCTCACAAAATATTCAGGAGGCTAGAAACCAAACAATATTGGAGACAAGTCATACTTTCTGAACTCAGAATGTATGCTGAATTGTAGCATATACAATGCTTCCCCATGTCAAGCTTCATATCCTTAAGAAGGCTCCTATTATCACAAAACATCCCTTAAGGACAAAAGAATTTTTGGTAGAAAAATGTGTTTGGCAACATATTTAGTTAACCATCAGTTTTAAAACACAACCACCCTTTTAAGGAAATTAAATAGAAGCCAAGTATTTTTCATTACAAGTACTGTAGGCTCCAACCAGGAGAAAATCTTTTTTTCCAAATGTGTATCCTTATATGTAAAGATAACCAGAATTATTAAGAAAACATACTACTAATAAAAGTTATTCCACCCACTGTCAGAATTATGCTAATCTTCCAGAAGCAGGGCATTTGCATTTATCTAGGCAATTCTCTACTACCTTGGTTGCAAGATATTTTCCTTAACCACCAGTATTCAATTTTGGTATCATCCCATCACCTGTTCCAGGACAGAAATGAAGTCCCATTGATTTTTCAGCATTTTCCAAAAGCCACTGTTGAATAAAATAAATGCAAACTCTAAGCACTTTTCCAGAATAGCCCACATGACCTGATGCTGCAAATGTGCATGTGTATCTCAAGTTCAATAACATTTAAAAAATAAACATGTAGGCAGGAGTTTGAGGCTTTTTCAAACTTAACTTATCAAAACCCCAGTAGTATTATGCAGGGAACTAGGTCCAGTCCTGCAACGAAGTGCCATTATTCCAAGAGGAATTTACTCTACTTTGCATTACAGGGATGTTCCTGTCTGGCTCTCTTGCACATGGACTACTTCACCCAGTCGGTCTGTAGTACCAATCCTATCTGGTGATGGCAGAGCAAGTGCCAAAGCCAGAACTATCCACACAGCCACAAAAAAGCAGCATGTTCAGACACTCCTTGAAAACCATTTGGGTAAATTGTTTGTAAAAGCATTAGAATGTTTACAGGTATGACCTTGGGGAAACCAAATCAAAGCATTTCTAGAAATAGGCTCCAAATGACTGCTCCACAGTTAACAAAAAATGGGTTTTACTTGAGTGATGTTCTGTATAGCAGAAAAGAGGCACAAATTTTAAGCAACCAAGCATAAATTGCAGTATAAAAAAACAAAACAAAACCCTCACTGACAGGATCCCTCCTTAGGCTACTATTTATTTTTGCTCATGTTATCTAACTATTGAATACTGAACAGAGTTTCTTTATTTTCTTCTATTAGCTAGATTTTTCCAAAGTCTGCAGAGGGTTCTTTAAAAAGTGTCTAGCCATGTGTAAATCAAATAACAATTTCTCAAGAAATTTAGAGTCTCAGTTTTAATCACCTGAAATAAAATTGATCAAAAATGCTCAAGTTTTATATGGAACTATTCTAGACTCCTAAAGAGAGATTTGTAATAACCTTTTGGTGGATAGAAAGTTAAGAAGTATCTCTTTGGGTTTTGGGGTTTGGTTTTTTTTTTAGTCAGAGAAAATTTTTTGAGAACTGGCAACTTTAAAAGCATTTTTTAGATGCCTGTCTTCAAACACTGGGATATCACAGCTTGAGTGACGTCTCCACTTCCAGAATAAATTACAAAATTGGTTTCTCTGTAGAAGATCATTTAAGCATATGCTTTAGACTGATTGGTCGTCTTAAATTAGGACAACAGAAGTAGCATCTGGGTAGAAACACTCCACCCCTGAGTTAAGGGAAGCAAAACAAGAATCAAGGTAATGCAACATTTAAAAACCATTAGCACAAAATTAATGAAGACTGCATCTCAGTTTTTTTAAACTGAAAGAAAAAGCTCCTTTCACGATAAATCATCTAGATGAGATTTACATCTTTGCTACTAAATACCAGATTCTGCTCCATAGAATTTGCAGAACAGAATCACAATCTTCAGGGTGTTTCATTGTCTGTTCAGTCAATACTTATGACACTTATATTAACAAACAATGGTTAATGCCTATGTCCAGGAACTAGATTCTCAAACACTTCCGTTCTGACTTTCAGCTTACAAAAACCTACAAGGCTATTACAGACAGCTGAGATATATACAGCGCGTGACTGCATGTATGGCTGTAAGAAAAAGATTTATATGCCACACAGAAAAAGACAGGCTCTGGGTGTAATCTGTTACACTACTTATACTCTAATTATGCTACTCCTGATAGTATCTATACAAAAGGGAGGAAATGAATACACAGTTCTTCCAAATTAAAGGAATTTATACTAAAATGCAATATTTTTAATGACTTCAATTTCCAAATATGCATTCTGGTGAACTGGCAAGTTCCCCAAATTTCAATAGACATTTCTCATAAAATAAAGGTTCAACGTCTCCCGCTTGTCTGGTACTAAGAATTAAAGATCATCCACTACTAGGTGCCAGAAATGTAAATATCCGGAGTAACTTTTAAAACTACTAAAGACACCTCTTATTCTTTCCATGGGGCAGGAATACAGCTGGGGCTGTTTCAATTTAAAACAAGTTGTGAATCACAATGGCCATTCTTCCAAATTCCTATTCTTCAAGCTAAAAATTTCTAAAAACCCTAGCTGGAAATAATGACAAGCTTGAGACCAATTTCCTCAGAAAAACATAATGGAAATCTTGGGACCCTGCTCATGCTGAAAATTCATAAGCAGTTTTGTTTGATACCAACAGATCCTATCACATTTGATCCATGCAAATTTCTGGCAAACTTCTGCCACATGCTGATATTTAAAATTAAAAGCAGCATAACTACTTTACTATACATTCAACTGAGCCATTAAAAAAAAAACAAAAAAAGTTCTTTTTCATATAAAGTTCCCAAAGAATGTATTTAATTTCTGCATAAGTCTGCTTCTCTAAAAACAAAGAGCCTTCACTGATTTGGTTGTATTTCCCAAGTATTTTACAAACAAAAACATTAACTCCTATTATCACAGTACAGTGAGAAACCAATATAAGATTATCAGGCTGGAGTGAAAAGGACATATTCAGGATGCCTAACAATAGTATGAAATACAAGAAAGTAATGAATAGATCAAGAAAGCAGGAGGGAGAAATGAAAGGAAGAGAACACACTGACATTTTCACACAATTTTAGTATGGGTATAGGGAAGCCTAGCAACAGTACATGAACTGTTATCTATACTTAGTTTCTGCTAGAGTCTTCCGCTTTTACATTTTAGGCAGCAAAATAACAAAAGGCTGTCCAGACTGAGTAAACAAGACCACACACAGGCACTCCTGCTTCCCAAACAAATACAAAAGTCTTCAGAAAAAAACCAAAGCCATCCAAGGTGATAAAAATGTAATCCCATAGGGGACCACTAATACAACTCCTCAGAAAATGAGTATTTTTATTACCTGTTCAAGACAGTCTTGTGGTTTGAAATCATTCCAGTAACACAATTAAAACAACCAGCTCGATGAATAAGACAGTTTTTTAACTGAGACAGTCTATCTGCTTTTTACCTTTCAGTAATGTAATGTTCTAAGTACACCCTTTAATACTGTTGTCATTACCAGAAACCTTGATCATGAACAGAATTTTGTCCTGAATTCTTTTCAGGTATAACATACATTTTGCTAAGGAACATAAAACAAAAGGGAAAACTCATATCACCGTGATAGTTAGCAAGCGCTCAAGGTTCCTAGTAGAAATTTTTCAGCTTGGAATTGTATTTTATATTAATAAATAGCAATCATTACTGACTGTAGTTAGGTGAGACAGTTGCTTTTGTCTCTTTGTATTCCTTTTGTGCCTGATGAGATGACTATTTCAGGTTAATGAGGCCAGCAAATGCCTTTTAATACATTAATGCTTGCAAGGAAGAAGCTGTGATTCTCCCAGGAGGAAGAGGGGGTTTGATTTGATTTTCTTCAATTTATCAGTTACCAATCTGTCTGGGAAGTGGATAACACTAAGACAACGTATGGAGTAACTCCAACAACTGAACAGAAGACACCAACAAGTCTGAAGATCCTCTGATGCAGGTCTCTGCTCCTGCTCTTTGATTAGTGCAATGCCTGTGAGCAGCAGGGAACAGACCGCATTTACCTTCCATACTCACAGCTCCAAGGGAGAGAAAGAAATTTGCAAGCCAGTATCAAAAAAAGTTTACATCAGCTAAATATAGAAATACTGCAAATGCTACTACACTACAGAAGGAGAGAAGATTTTCTAGATATCCTAAGATCTTTGCTTTGTACCAGCTGCCATGCAACAGGACGGCAAAATTGTTATTCAAAGTTGAGGTGGGTAGGTACAGTGGAAAGGCTCCAACTGGTCATATCAAAGGAGAAAGGTTTCAGGAAATAATCCAGTAAAATACATCCAACATGCCAAATCCACACCAAAACAGAAAAAAAAAATTCCCTCTGCTTTGTCACCTTCAAATAAGCAATTTTTACAGTCAAATGCTTGCACTAAAACCAAAATGTTATGTGAAATAGAAATAAACAAGCCTACAATGGTAGCTAACAAAGCTTGGAGAAGAAAAAAGCTTGGGTAGAAAGACAGAACATTCTCCACAAGGAATCATAATCTGTATCTACAAATTGCCTTCTTCACTAGGAATGCAAACACAAGTTACTCTTTACTCATAGCCACACTTACAAAATAATTTTTTTCTGCAAATAACTCTTCAGTTAAATATATGGTGTATAACTTAAAATACATTTTCAAATTAGCTTCTCCAGTGTATTAGCTATATTTACTCATGTTTTACAAAAAAAGCTATATTTACTCATGTTTTACAAAAAGAAATACTTAATATAAGTAAAATCAGAGTAAGACAAAGGCAGAGTTCTTCCATAGTTCAGCAAATGGAGATTATGTTCACAGTACATTTAAAAAACACTAAAAAACGAGTGCCATGGGCCTTTTGTCTTACCTTTGCAAGTTCCTCCTGTAATTCTCTGCAGGTTTTTTCATTATTCCCTAGCCTCTCAGAGAGGTCTTTAATTACCTTCTTCTTTTCTTCAATCTTCTCATTCATTTGCTTGTTTGTGGAGAAACACTCTCTTTCTAATCTGGAAAGTTTCAGCATTAGAACATTTTTATCAAAAATACTTTTGTCCAGTATATTATATACTTTTAGAGATAATCAATGGATATGGCACATATCATGTTAGCACATCATATGGCTTCTGAAGTTTTGTGGTTATTTTTTTTTTACTGAAGAAAGTTATATATTCCTTTTAAGAAAGGCTTTTCAAGAAGTGGTTATGTTCTTTTCAGTTACCAACACTTGTGTTAGGCTTCCAGTCATAAATTCATTTGGTCATTTGGATATGGACTCCAAATTCCATATAGTAAACAAAATTCATCATATTTTAATTAACACAGTAGCTCTCCTCAGAAAGACCTCACATCTTGTGTAATCAACCCTGATTTCAGGTACAACGCTTGCTCTCAAAGTTTCTACAAACTTGACTATATTCTACTCAGAATGGCATGACTTCAAATTTTGCCACCAGCAGACTGTTCCCAAAGTTTTAAACAGTTCTTTTACTATATCAGTTCTCCTGATAGAGCCTGGATGGCTAAACAGGCAACTCATGAGAAACCTACAAGGCCAAACAACAGCATACAGGAGACACAAGAAGGGGCAGGAATCCTGAGTATGTAGGCATGGTGTCAGGAAAGCCAAAGGCTCACCGAGAATTGATGTTTGCAAGGGATGACAAAGACAACAAGAAGAGATTTTACCGCTACATTAAGTTAGGAAAGAAAACACAGACCTGCTTCTACACAGACTAGATGATTTATCAACAGTGGACACAGAGAGGGTCACCACACTACGCCTTTTTTCTTCAGTCTTCCCTGACAAGGTCTCCCAAGCCTCTATGATCAGTAAAAGGACTCAAAGAGGAGAACAATTGCTAGCAGCAGGTGAGGATTCAGTCCAGGATTACTTGTAAGAACTCAACCCATAGAAATTGAAGAGGCCAGCTTGCCTACACTCAAAGGTTCTGACAAAGTTGGCCAATGTCACAGTAAGGCTGCTCACGACCATCTTTGAAAGGTCACAGAGACTGGGGGAGGTCCCTGGCACATGGAGAGAGGCAAATATCACACCTATATATTCAGAAAAGGGCAAAAGGACAAGCCAAGGAACTGTAGACCAGTTAACTTCATTTCAGTCCCACAAAGGTCATAAACAAGTCCTCTTGGAACAAATTTCTGGGCTCATGAAAGAGAAAAAGGTGATTGGGAACAGTCAGTGAGGATTTACCAAGGCTAAATCATTTCTGGCCAATCCAGTTATATCCCATGATAAAATGACCAGAGCTGTGGACAAAAAAAGAGCAAGTAGATTAAATATAACTCAACTTTAGCAAGGCTTTTGGCACTGTTTCACACAGTATTTTTATAGCCAAGTTAGTACTTCAGTCTAGATATGTGAACTACAACATTGATAAAAACGGTTTGATGGTAAAGCTGAGATGGTAGTGGCTGATAACAAGTGGAATACCGTAGGAGTCTGTATTAGCATTTGTTTAACATCTTTATCCATCACCTGGATTAGGCCAGGAGTGCAATCTCACCAAGTTTGCAGGTAACACTGAACGGGGTAGGAGTAGGTGATGACACAACACAACTGATACACTCAAGAGAACGGCTGCTGTTTCATAGAACCTAGACAGGGAGGAGGAACAGGCCAACATGAACCTTCTGAGATTCAACAGTGACGCATGCAAAGATCTGAATTTAGGAAGCAAGAGCCCCCTGAAGCAATATGGCTGGTAACTGGCTGGGGAGCAGCTATGCCCAAAAAGGACTTGGTAATCTTGGTAGACAGCAAGCTCGCCACAAATCAGCAGCATGGCATACAAGTAGAGATGATAGCTAACGGCATCCTGGGCTGTATTAGTAGTAGCATAGCCAGAAGATCAAGGGATGTGATTAATCACCTTTTATTTGACCAGTTTTAAGCACACACCTCCCACATAACACAGGAAAGAAGTTGGAGCGAGCTCAAGGGAGGGACACCAACATTGTCAGGGGCTGAAGTACATATAAGAACTGAGGGAACTTGGTATGTCCAGGCTGGAGAACAGATAACTTCAGCGTGTACAATGGCCCCCCAGTATCTAAAAGGAGGTTATCAAGAAGATGCAGCCAGTCACTTCACAGCAATGTATGGCTAGAGGACAAGAGACAACAGTCACAAATTGAATCCAAAGAGGTTGAGACAAGGGGAAACTTTTTCCACCCTAATGACAGTCAAACAGTGGAACATGTTCCCAAAGGGGTTGTGCCATCTCCATTCTTGGAGGTTTTCAAGACAGAACTGGATGAAGCCCTGAGCAACCCAATCTCATAGCTGATTTGAGCAGAAGGTTGGACTATAGATCTCCTGCAATTCCTTTTAACCTGAACTGTTCTTTGATGTAACTCAGCAGTGGCAACATCCAGGTGTCTCTCATTTCTTTGTGTCTTCTCCTATCACTTCTGTCTTACTAGAATTAAAAGTAATGCAAAGTGCTCAAAGTTCTTCGAGCTGTGAAATTTTTGAATCAATATTGTCACTCCCCGACTTTGACTTACTTCTTAAAGATCAATGTATCTTTTTTGCTGAAGGACTACTTTATCAGTCCTCCAAATACCTATGTGCTTCTGCTTCAGCCTAGCTGATTTTTTTTCTGTTAGCTGTGGATGGTTACTTCTTACTCTTTGAGAAAGAACTTGCCTGTTTCAGTCCCCCAAAGTAGCTTCTACTCCCACAGCTTTCAGAAACACAGCAAAAGCAGTTCCAATTTATTCTATGTCATGTTCTCAATCTTCAAGAAAAGTAAATTCACATGGAGACCCAAATCCCACGTTGCTTTCAGTTTACATAGTGCTACTGGGTTCAGAGCTAATTAATAAATTATGCAACCCAGAAAAGCCTGTTTGCTTGGTTTCAGTTATTACAACCATCTCTTTCTGAGAAAATAAATTCTTACAGATTTGTATAGCTTCCAACTTTGGTATCATTTCTGCTACATCAAGTCCAGCTAAAAAGATATATAAGTGTTCCAGCACAACAGATGAAAGTCTCCAAGAGTTTCCAAAGACTAAGGCTCAAAGACAAACTCATGGGACTCCTCCAGAAAAAGGGAAAACAAGTTAGAAAGCCAAATCATGGCTTAAAAGAAAAAGCCAAGCTCCTGACATTGTCTGGAGTCCAAGGACCACAGCCTTCAAAGGTAAGTAGATCAAAGGCTCTTGTATTCTCTCTGAAGGCATCCCGTGAAAGCAGTCACTGATATTCACCATTGTTACTGATACTTGTACGCTTCAAAGAATAAAAGAGGCACAGGAAACAGATGAGGCAGTACATGCCCACCCCATGTAACTACCTCAAGGGAACTGAGTATATAGATGTCCATCTCAGATAAAGCTTGACCTTCACTACCTATCTTTATGGAGCTCTGGAAAATGAGGTGTCTGGACTAACAAAATGGTAAGGATAAGCTGTTTCTGTTTCTTCAAGCTCTATTAACAAAGCCACCAACTGTTTGTGTTAACTTTCATGGAAAGGTTTCCATGCATTCCCTGAAATCACAGAAGATAATTTGTTTTCAAAAAACTCAGTTGGCAGAAGCTGCTAGGAATCAACAGATGATTGCAAGTAGTGAAAAGTACTGTTTGGATATTAGACAAAGTTTATTCTGATATCCAATTAATGCACAGAACAGATGCTTTAAGTAGGCACAAATTCTTTTTTGTACACACATCCCCCCTTCCCTTGCCCCAAAATAGGGCAAATCTGCTTTCCTGGGAAGGAAGTGTTGAACAGAATTATCCAGTTTAGAGGAAAAGAGGAAGGCTGTTTAAGGTTCTTGTTGCATTTTAGTAACACAAGTACTTACTTCTCTGTAAGCACTAATACTGAAGTTCCTAACACAACTGGTACCATAACTATAAGAACTGGATTTCCTAGGCTTAGCCACAACAAATACATATATTCAGGTATTTCCTACAGCAGTTCCAGACAAAAAAAAAGATAGTCCCTAAAAAACAACTCCTTTTTTTTTGAGGATAAGGTTTTCATTTAAGAGTTCTTTCCATTTTTCCAAAATGTAATTTTCATGGACTCTAAACACAAACCCCTTCACTTCTCAAAAGAAATGGCTTCATAAAAGATAGATAAAAGATTCTCACAAAGAACAAAACATTATTGAATGCAGCAATGTAATTCAATATTTAACCATTATCCTTATACTGGTCTGAATCATCTAATAAAGAAAAGTATCTTTAAGAGTCTCTCAACAACTTAGTTGGGAAATTACTACTTACAGATTTTCACAATTTTTAACTAACATTACTAATTTAAATTTAAAAAGCAGATCTTGTGGTAAAACTCGTAAAATTCAATGGTTTGGACAATTCCTAAAGAGTTGTTTAAGCTACCATCAAAAATGCTTCTAATTAGCTTATATTTTATCTCTATTATCATCTCTTGGTTCTCAAAACATGTTAATACTAATAATAGACTAATTCAGGCCTTAGAGACTCACATCTTTGTCACTAACTTAGTGGAATGTAATTTGCAATTTTGAAGTGTTTAGAAAAAATAGAGTTGTTGAAAGAGTGCTCACGTTCAACACCTAAAGTGATAGCTGAGTTCCACATGGTAACAACTGGACAGCATTACTCCATGTGCAGGCAGTACTACACTTAAGACTACTCCTTGAGATAAAAGGTCTCTGCTCATCTGAGAAGCTAATATAATTCACAGCGTGAAATGCTCTGACAAACTCTGTTTGTTAAGGAAACTTAAGTGCACATGCATACCACTTCAGGGGACTGGGGTCTAGCGTGATGAAATCAAACAACCAAAATTGTTCCAAAAAACGTAGGTGAGGAACTCATATATTTTATGAACTTTCTGTGGGGCCAAAAGGAATCTTCAAGAGAGGATCCTGTACTGAAAATTATTACTGAGCACAGATATCTAAGATAAAACATCTTGTAGCAACATGAAAATAAGAATTTGCTAAAATAGAGAGGAGTACCTGATAGAAGAGTTGTGATGAAAAGTTAATAAGAACAACCGAAGATAGACAAATAAAAGCATTAAAATGCCAAACATTCTAGAAACCCTGAGAATCAAATTGTTTTACCAATATGTAACTCCCAGTGTAAAGCATTAACACTCCTTTCAAGACCTATGCATGATGTGTAGTTTACATTTTTGGTGTATGTGTAGCACTTAAAGATGTTATTGTATTTTTAAAACTAATTTATGCAGAATTCATGACTCCACATTTATTTCACATCAAATAATAAAATCAGAACAGGCACTCTTCTGTAATTTTAACCCTTCCTTTGTGACTACATCAAAGCTTAACATGACCTATGTGTTCAGACACACTCATTTTCTGAAGAGCTATAAAGATAAAAAGCGGTGTAGTTCTACATTTCAAAAGTTAGTACTTTCAAAAGTCATAGTTATGGTTTCTACAAGTCTACTAACTCCTCGGACTGACTGCACCCTTAAATTTGACAGTATCTGTGGTTCATTAATCTCATTACCTTGAACTTCAGAGACAAAAGCTACAGGTCAGACACACTTGTTTTCTGTAAGAATGCAAGAGATACACTAACAGATGTGAGGACAGACATGAGCTGCTTGTACAATTCAAGGGCTACTTTTTGAGTTTAGACAGAAACAACAGGAGAAAAATTCCTGAAACTTCCAGAAGGAAGGAGTAAATGGTATCTAGAGATTCTTGGAAGGTTAACAGGTCCCTGACTAATTACAGAAAGCCATGCTATGGCACCCATGTTGACAAGACAGGAAATATTTTTCTAGACTGAAAACTACTCCAGCTTAACAGGCATTGGCCAGAAAAACTAAAAAAGCCCTGTGTTTCACTTGAGGATGGTGCATTTGGCTGGTCTAACCTCAAATACAAAGATGGACCTTGGAATATTAGACCTTGGAAGGATTGAAGAAATGGTTCAAGAACAAGCACTGGAAGAACAGTAGTTCAAGAAAACTTCTAAGTCTGAAGGGAAGAGAAAGATTTTATCTGTAACATGAACTTTCTGTATTTTCTGGACAACTCAAATATGGAAACCTAACAGAAAGGAAAAAAAAAAAAACCCCACCATATTCTCTGTAAGAATAAGAAGTTACATACCAGAAAAACTCATACAGTGTGAAGCAGCTTGTTACATAAAACTACTGATCCAACAGCCATTCCTCCGAACAAGGCTGTTTTAAAGAGAAAGGAGCTTTTTTAAAACAGGACAATAAAGAACAAATAAAATGTCCAATCAATGGTACAGGCCTTCTCCAGTTGAAGGAAAGGCACAGAATTTGGTATTAGTTTAGTGCTATGTATGTTGCTGCCATAGAAATTACACTCAAAGCAAAATCAACCAGGGAGGATGAGATTACAGTTTAATAAACTGATGTTATTCTAGGACCATAGAGAATCTTGAAGTACTTATACAGTTTCCCAACTGTGAAGACTGCAGTGTTCCTGAAGCACCACATTAGATGACTATCATGATGTATTTCACATAATTTCACAGATTTTAACATAAATATCATTTCCTTTTCCTTTAGAAAAAAGCTTTTATTTTTTTAATATGACTCTGGTTTACCTAAATGCACAATCTTACATTCAGACTTCTTTTGGCCTTATTTTAATGAAGAGCTCTAAGGTGTTTATAATACAGCACAGGTTTCACCTATGTTACTAAAAACAACTCTGTAACCATGCATACAGAAAGACTCTCTCAGGCTCACAAACTTCCTTTTGCTCTCCACTATTGCTTGTGTGATTAAGTCAACCGAAACACCTATGTGTACAGACCCATATAATCCTAGACTGAAAGAGATGCCACCTCTGTCTTTTTGCAACCCATTCTACTAGCTTAAGTCTCTTCCCACACCCCCACTGTGGACCACCCACTTTAAGTCTTCTTAAACCTCCTTTCCCTAAACTTCGCCTGCTACTATCCTTTATTTCACCTACTCCTCAGTTCTCTGTCTTTCCACACATTTTTCTTCCTGACGTTTTCTCACCCCAATATATACTTGACTCAGCCAGGGAAGACGACTCAGTACTGTGCATCCTATATCTGCCTGGGGAATACAACAAAGCCGTTCTGCCAAAAACCGTCTGTTACTACAGACACAGCAAATTGTGCTGAGCAGGAGAGGAATCTCAAGTAATTTTGTCTGCTCTCACACACTTCACCCCTTTTTCTACTTTTCGTTACCAAGTTAAAACTTTCCACAATTATTCAAAAGCTATAAATAAAGATTATCCACTATAAATTATACAAAAGTTCTAGACAGAAGTCTTAAAGATTCATCTAGCTCACTGAAGTGAAAAGTAATGTTTTCATAATAATGTAAGTGGGTACAGAAAAAAAATCTGTTATAAACCTGCCACATATGTTTTCCTACACTCCTCCCAAACACTACTGGAAACAGGACCCTATCATAACTATTATTTTCAACATTTTTGCTTTGGCAAATAATCTATAACAGATCAGTTGTTTTTTCTACCTACCCATAATATGTATGGTTACTGATATGGACCTCTTATTAATGGAATGCCAGGTTCTGAACCTTGGCTTGGCTTGACAAATTGCATCAGATTGTGTTGTCTTCTAGTAACCGAAAACTATAGAGAATGTAAATTATAAGCAGTACTCAAGCTTTCTACTGCCATTTCACAATGAATTTAAAAGGTAACTTACACATTGAGTTTTTCCAAGTTCTCTTGTGCATTGTGTTTTTCTCTCTCATATGCATATTCCACGTCTTTGAACTCTTTCTTGATCATTTCTAAATCCGAAAGAGCTTCTGCTTGGCTGGCTTTTTCCACCTGCAAAGCTCCTTCAAGGTCTCGAATTCTTAACTACCAAGTGATAAGAAAGCAATTAAAGCAAGTTAGGAAAAACTATCTTGATCTTTAAGGCTGTTCTATGTTCTGCTCTGCTTTACAGGTAACTATATTCTATTAATTCTATGTGGAAGTATATACACAGAAAGCATTGAACACAGGTAAAAATGTATGAACACATACAGTTCAAAATGGAGACAAATAAATACCCTGACCAAAAGCCCCTTTTATTCGCCTTTGGTGGTGTCTGGATTTTTCCTTTTTCAGTTATTACTAAGGTTTTCCAGTGGAATCCTGTTTTTTCAGTATACTCACAAAAGTATGGGATTAACAGTAAAGGCTACAATTCCACTCAGCACAAAGCACGCTTGAAACTTGTTCGTATATATAAACAAGGAAGAAAACCTTACCAGCCATTCACCCATAAAAGATAAGCCTCTAACTTTAAGGAATGTTACCCTCCCAGTTTCTTTGTATGTTGTAAAAGTAGGGAGAGGAAATTAAGAAAACTAAATCTTTCCTTTTTACTAGTTTAACTGTCACTTTAAAAAATTTAAGTGCTTGTACATAGAGAAGATCATGAGAATAAGAAAATAACTTACAGAATGTCTTGGTTTCAGCTGGGATAGAGTTAACTGTCTTCCTAGTAGCTGATGCAGTGCTATGTTTTGAGTTCAGTATGTGAAGAATGTTGGTAACACTGATGTTTTCAGATGTTGCTAAGTAGTGTTTAGACTAAAGTCAAGGATTTTTCAGCTTCTCATGTCCAGCCAGCAAGAAAGCTGGAGGGGCACAAGAAGTTGGCACAGGACACAGCCAGGGCACCTGACCCAAACTGGCCAACAGGGTATTCCATACCATGGGACATCCCATCTAGTATAGGAACTGGGAAGGGGGGGGCGAGGAATTGCCACTCGGGGACTAGCTGGGTGTCGGTCAGCGGGTGGTGAGCAATTGCCCTGCGCATCATTTGTCCATTCCAATCCTTTTATTACTACTGTTGTCATTTTATTAGTGTTATCATTATCAGTTTCTTCTTTTCTGTTCTATTAAACGGTTCTTATTTCAAGCCACGAGTTTTACTTCTTTTCCTGATTTTCTCTCCTATCCCACTGGATGGGGGGGGAGTGAGTGAGCGGCTACGTGGTGCTTAGTTGCTGGGTGGGGTTAAACCACGACACAGAAGAATGGCAGTACTTATTTTTGTTACTCAGAAAATAAGAAAGAAAAAAAAGTTACCAAAATTCCTTTTTTTTTTTCCTTTTCTTTCTTAGTTTTTCAAAAGTCCAGTGTGAAGGGCTTGTTAGTATGAGATTACTAAGCAATTATCATTTAGCTTTTTCTCACTTGCTTTTTAAAATAAACCATAATTGCCAGTAGGGTCAAACCTCTGTGATAAAGTTCAGTAATATAAAGATTTAATATTCAAGTATATATACTACATTTTTTCATATAATCAATCTTTACTGGTAACTGCAGATATCATAACTTTGTTTGAAGCCGAAATGTACTTTGAGTAATTATATTTGGAACTGCAGTTTCAGGATGCATTAAGCTCTCACTCCTAGAGAAGTTGGATGTATGCACTGTATCACCAAATAACTGTAAGTGCCCATTCAAAAGATACACGGAGGGATATTTAAACATAGAATCATAGAATCACAGAATCATTTAGGTTGGAAAAGACCTTTAAGATCATCGAGTCCAACCATCAACCATGTCCACTAAACCATGTCCTGAAGTGCCTTGTCTACACACTTTTTGAATACCTCCAGGGATGGCGTCCCTCCCTCATAATTTAAAGGAAGGTGTCAGAACTATAACCATTATTTTCTGTCTTTGACTCTCGCTTTGTTAAGCCCAAGTGCTGAAACCATAATGACTATATTCATCATGTGTCCATTCCACAGAGATGCTCATCAAATGCCACCCAGGCATTGCATCGTGGTATTGCCCTGTGGTGATGATGATGAACAGTAGTATAGTGTTTAACTATTTTGAAACATTTCCTTTCCCCTCACTGTTTAAATGCTAGTGGAATTCTCAAACTTACAAATGTGCCATTTTATTTCATTATTTATTCTAATAACTTTAATGTTGCCTGAAAAGCAGATTATTTTTCTTTTCTTTCCTTTTACATATTAGCTATTACAATTTTGACACATTGCAAAAAAACTATTCAGTGTTTTCACTGAAGCAACTAAGTGGTCTCAATATTTTTGGAAGATTGTATCTTTACAACTTCATTAACTGTTTTAGTGTATAATTCTACAAAATACTTAACAAAAAGTTTACCTGGATGATCTCTGAATTGAATTTGGATTCCAAATGTGCTGCTCTCTCTGCTTCAATGTTTTCTTCCAGTTTTTTTATTCTCACTGTAGCTACCTAACAGTACATTTTGAAGAAATGTAAGTCCAGAGAGATAGTAAACATAACACAAGGACTATTCTATTCATTCAGTATATTAGGACTCCATACACCAACCTGATGTATCTGACCTACTTGTACTTTGGAACTGTGAGAACTCATACCAAGAAATACATATAAAAAATTTTACATACCTAGAATATTTTTATTTTCTATTTAGTTAAAGAAATTGATGTAGCATTACGTTACTGTTGCATTTTTTACAATCAAGAAAACTGCAGCTGGAATCAGAAAGCAGAAAGACCAAGTTAAATATTCTACCTATTCTGTTACTATTTGCTTTTTCACCAAGGTTGTCACCTGAGACAACATAACCACACCCTGTATGTTCCAATATGTATCAATAGACTATCTACAATTTCAGTGACGAAACAGATGAAGCACAGAGAAGATACAGAATTCCTAAACAATATGTTGGCTTTGGCACCTAATTTCCAATTAAGGTGCCCAAAACAAATTGTTTTGCAGCCCTAGACTAGTCATAGTCTCCCTACAATAAAAATCTGTAAGCTCTGCAATGCTTTAAAACACTAACCTAGTATTTTTTTTTACTGCTGTGTTCCTTGACCTGTAACTGTTCTGTTATGTTTTTGTCTAACAATTATCAGGATGTTCACCATCTCTTTGAACAAACACCTTGACTAATTTAGCCAGTTACTACATCTCATTACACAGAAGAACACCTGTACATGCATGCATAGTTTAAGCAAAGTGGGATTCTCTGAATTAAACTGTTGCATCTTTCTTATCCATTCTTATAACATTTTGAAAAGCACCACAATGCAAATGACTATGCTAAGAATCTACTTGAAAATTTGGATTGCCTACAAAAAGTTCAAGAAGTAGTCTATATTTTTCCTAAACTTTTTCTTTAAGTGATCCAAGCTGAAAAAAATTTCTTTCAAGTTACAATAAACACAGAAGCAATCACCAGATACGCATGTTCACATAAAGGCCTGGACACAGAATTTCACCTGGAAAAATACTTTTACCAAAAGCAGTAACTAAAGACCTGCTATAATGGAAACACCAAAAGCTTTTCACTTTGTTAACTGAATTGAATAGAAATTCATGCAAAAATGCCTATTACTTTCAAGTTAAATCAGGGAGATCAAGAAAAAGGAATTAATCCTAAAAAGTCATTTAACATAAGCACATTTAAGGTTACATAAATACAACCAAAGTTACTGATTTTGGAAAAGTAAAACAAAATAGCAAGTATGTGAGACTGCATCCTGATTCTGAACATTTGAAAGAAGAGAGAGAACATTAACAGATGTTAAAATAAAAGCTCTTGGCAATAAATTTAAACTTTGTTTGTATAATCACACACACACACAAAAGGAAAGACTTTTGAAATTGACGTCCATGGAAGGCCTACTATAAAGAAAAGCAGCAGCAGCACAGACCTTACCAAACCTACTCCACAGTAAGGTCTGTCAAAAGGCTTAAACTTTGCCTCCTCAAGGAGTTTCATCTGCTTAACATACCTGATTAAAAAAATTCACAAATCCTGCACAAACACTCCCACTGTATTTCCATATTGCTAAGATTATTCTAAAAAATAGCTTGCTGTAGACCCTTAACAGTATTATTGCTTCCAAACATCAGGTCCTACTCCCCTCTGCCCTTAATGGAGGATGAGCAGACTACCTCCTGCTTCAGTTTGGAAGGACTCCTTAGCATCCTCCAACAGGTCAACATCTGTCAACAGGATGATTTTACACAAGAATACTGCCAGCCTAGTAAAAGTAGTCAGTGAACAATAAATACAAGTGATGCGGATTTCATTTCTTTTTTAATAAGATTTAAGAAGTCAGCTTGAAAATAATTCCATTTTAAGTCTGAGGATAAGAATAAAGGAAACAGTGAGGAAAGTACAAGACTTAGAGTGGGAAATGTAATTTTTAAAAAATAAAATGAAGAAATAGAAACTTCACTGAGAATATTTCACCACATACCCTCAAGAGCAAAAATGCCTTTTCTGTCTCTGGCTGGTTTGTTCAAGTGTCTATTCTCATAGCAAACACTGAACTGGAAAAAGAAAAAAACTGATTCTGCAAATAAAGTTTTCAGGCATAACTTACTAACTCACAAGCTCTGTACTGCATTTGACCTCTAAGTCTTATGTTATTTCCTGAGCACCTGAGTCCAAAGTAGAACTATGTCTTCATCTCAGCCTCTCTTCAGCTGAAATCTGAGATGCAAGACACTCTCAAATGGAGCCCCCTAGAACTGTTAGATTTCAACAGTCCCAAGAAAAAAAATAAAAACAGAAAGAATACGTAACAGCTTGAGTGAGGGCATCTGAGAGAATAAAAAACTGGAGCAACCACATTCTCCCGAACAGAACATATAGGTATCAGTTCTTGGTATAGTTCTTTAAAAGTAGAGTCTATCTCCTTGAGCCGACATGATGGACACTAACTGCTGGGACAAGAGACATGGTCCAAAGGAAATACAAACTCCCAGATATATAGAAACTTCAGTCCTAAGAAAATCCTGGGACAATGAGGGAAGAGAGGCAGGAGCAAGCAGACACCTGTAAGAAGTGCCAACACTCTTTTCCTGTCTGAAGTAAGAGCAATTCCATTTAAAACCAGACATATTTGCAGATGGTTGATTTGCTTGAATTGTCACAAGTCACTGAAGAATTAACTTGTAGAATTAGCATGCCTATAAAAAGAGAAGCACTGGGAAAACTCATGTTTCAGCTACAGACATTCCTGATGATCTCTGGAATGTGAGAAACAGGCTCCTAATTGCAAGCAGGACAGTGTGTCTAGCCTACTCTAAAAGAGGTATGAACCCTAGGCACTGACCAAAGAAGAGCTAGATGTACCTGACAGGTATCCAATGGAAAGTATTCGAAGAGATTCAAGACAGTACACATAAGGAAAATTAAATTAGAAACTAGAAATCAAAGTATCTGTTTGACAGGTAAGTATCATCTTACAGATCATATCCCCATATAAAGGCATGGGAAAATTGACTTGTTTAAAACCATGATTTCTTCACAAGGTCAGGAATCTTAACACCCTATTCTTGCTTCTAAAGCTCATGTTCTTCTAGAGTTTGATTCTTTAAAGCTTTGCCTCATAGCAGCAGTTTGTTACAATTTTGATTTTTAAAACCCTGTTTAAATTAGTTCACCAGACCTTCAGAAAACAAAGACTCAAGGAGAGAAATAAAATTTATTGCGTTCAAGACAAGGCACCGTCAGGGACCTGACAGGAACTGCCACTAATTTCTTATATTGCTAGAAGCCAAAGATGAAGAGTGAACTATATTATCTTCAAAAGTCTCAGAAGATTACTCCAGTAAACCTTAATCTTAGCTTACTAGTATAAGCAGGTGTCTTACCCAAAAGAGATTCAGATGCTTCAAAGAGCTTGCAAGAAAATTACATATGTAAATTGGGGAAGTCATATAGATGCTGTCTGTGTCTCGTGGAGCAATGACTATTCTTTTTCCTGGATTCTATGATTTGATTGCTGAAGCTTATGGTACACCATACGTCTAGCAAATTTAATCAGTCAGATACCGGCAAATCAGTGGGAAATTAGTGGGAAAACAAAAATTTCATGAGAGATACCTAACCAGTCATTAGCATATAAGCCTTGCAAAGCAATACAGAGTTCTTAAATAAATTCGGATTTGCTCAGACTGATCTATGGAAAAGAATCTTTGAATTGCTGTTTATCTAAGTGCACATCAGCCACAGAAGCTGCACCTGGATTCCAAGCTGAGTCTGAAGTTTTATTTGGGAAGAACACAGCTGCAAAAACCCACTATATAGAAAATCTTGTCTATTTTGCTAGTAAAAGTTCAGATAGGCTCTAGTGATACTTCATATATGAGCTTCCCTTCACAGTGAGAAGCTGCATGCTCTGCCAGCAAGAATGATCCATTACACACTATGTGAGGGAAAGAAAGAAATGTCAGGGATGAGTCTAACCTGTAACACCACATTAAGAATTCCAAAAAGAAAAATGGGACGAGGAGAGGAGTTTTTTGTTCCTGTCTGACAAACAGAAAGACACTGGTACCAGAACCATGTTAGCCAGGCAAACCTCTTTGAATTAGACAAAAGGTGAGAATCAGTATCCTTACTGAACCACATATGTCCAAAAACTTTACACAATGCCTGTCTAGAATGAAGAAGCTGTGTGAAAACAAGTTATAGAGAAAGGTTGCAGGCCACAGACATCCAGACCACAGTGTCTCAACTGGGAGTCAAATGGCAATACTTTCTGGTTTAGCTTGGTAAGCTTCTTGTCAGGTCCAAGTAACAGAGATTGATCTCAAGGACTGATCCAAAAAGTGGGTTCTCCAGCGGTTACAAAGTGTTTTCTTATCCAACATGGAAAATATCGGTTATTCAACAAGATTCAGTCACTCATTACTTCCATGTGCACCTAACAGGATCTATGAAGGCAGGCATCTTAAGTAAGATACCACAAACAAACTCAGAACCTCTGAAGTTTCCTTGGATATTCAAGCTGAGTCAGTTTCAGTCTTCATTTAAAGAACAAAGGTATCTGGGATCTGTTTCCATGATAGTACATGCAAAATTGTGACTTTTGAGAAAGAGCAAATAAAAATGACTAAGAAAACTTCAATGCCAGCCTTAGAACTTCTGGGCAACCATGCTATATGTTTACTCTAATCCCTTATGGTTCAGTCGCTTTTTCCAGTGTCCTGTTGCATGTCAATGCTAATGCGGTTTCTAGGAGACATTTTCTGCATGCTAACAGTTTGTAATACCATTTTCCAAACTGGCCTTTGTGGCTTCCACTTTTCTCAGACCCGGGCACTCCATACTGAAAGAGTATCAGAATCCTACATTTGTGCAATGCCACAGCCATGAAAATATAATCACTTGACATTTGCATTTACATCAAAACACCCTTTATCAGATAAGTAACAAAGAAAACAAGAAGAAAAAAAGAGAAAAG